ATGAATCGACATCATTAGTATCCACTGGGTCCTGACTAACCAGCTTTGTTTCTTGCCATACCGAAGTAGTAGATTAGATACCACGCGATTGCTGGATTCTCTCCACACCCACACACATTGTGACTTGAGTTGACAGACTATCTCTAGCTAAGGGGGGGATTGTCCACGATCTGGCAAGGCGAAAAAAGAGACACCTCCCCTTACTAGTCGGGTGGATCTGTTGACTAGATACTGTGCTAGGGAGGGGGTGGGTGGAAAGGGAATGGAGGGCCAAATGGGCACGAGTGCGTGGAGGGAAACCGAAACTCTGGCAGCACCGCACACCCCCTTTCAGTTTAGTTAGTTAGGAGGGTCACAAGGCTCTAAGCTTGGATGCCTGGACCTGACCCTACAGTATACAGAGGGTGTAGTATAGTAGTAGTGGCCTGAAATCTATCCACCCATCCATCCCTACAGTACAGTCTACATAATAATAATAATAAACAATAACCCTCAAATGGAGTGAGACTCAATGAATGGGAAGAGCTCCGCGCAGACCCGATGAGCAGACGGCCAATGCCGCCGCCGTCGTGGCTGTACGGGTTTAGTGTCCGGTCCCCGACCAGGCAAAAAGCAAAAAAACAAAAAAGAAAGGTCTATCCCCAAAGATCGACGATCAGAGAAAGTTGGAATGGAAACCTGAGAAGGCAACGCAGAACAGACCGCAACTGAAGGGCGGTGATTTGCTGCCTCCAGCACACAATGCTAGGTAATGTTTGTTCTAGGAGGCGGTGTGAGTGTAGGAGGACGAGTTGTGACAGGTCATTCGGGTGCAGATTGGCTCCACTCACACTTTTTCAATGCCAATGCTGTTCCAGGCTGGCCCGAGCACATCCCCTCGTCATTGGCTGAATGCGGTAACGCCCAGGGAAGATAAATCCGCCTCCCCGTGGGTGTGATTGGTTTGAAGAATGGAGTTCAGTCAGATGAACTGGGATGGAAATGCTGGAAGGATTGCCTGCCATGGAGAGGTGGGCGGCATTATTACTAGGTCCAGCCTCTTTTGGGGAGGAAGGTTGTGGTGGTGGTGGTGGTGGTGAAAGGGGGGGGAACGCACAAATGAGCTCATGGCCACACACATACACACGCGCCCGCCTATAGTCCACTGGGTCCGTTGGTTGATTGTATCAGCGCCCGGATGCCCCGTTGTTGCCATTGCCTGGGCGGCTGTGTGGTAGGAATGAGGCTGGCAAGATGGATGACTGGCTGAAAGGGACCCGGATGGGGAAGGGGGAGGAGGAGGTTCCTTTGCCCCACATTTACTATACTGTCCGTGTCTGAAGTTCTAAACTCTCAGACTCAAGATGCAGGGCGGGAAGATGGAAAATTAGTTGAAACTTCCCAGGGCGGTTATTATTATTATTATTATTATTATGATTATGATTTTGGTTGACAGGGCACGATCCATCTCGCCCATCTCCATCTCTATCTATCTACTATCGATTTACTCCGTAACTTGCTTCACAACGGTATACGCGCTGGATCGTCAGTGTGGTGAAACGTTGAAATCACCTCCCCCGATCAACAGTGGTTCTTGCAATCTCACCGGGCGTTCGGACGGTAAAAGCCAGTAGACTCTACCGAGTAGATACTTTCTGGGTAGATAGGTTGGCTGTATAGGCTGTTCTCTGTAATGCCAGCTCATGACTCCACCAGCAACATCTCTCCTCTCCTACAGTTGGTTACTGGGAAATGAGTGATGCTGGGACAAAGTTTTGAGCAAAAGAGGTGAACGATTGTTAATCTGACCATGGGAGTTCTAGGCTTATGGACCACAAGCGGGTACAACAGTATGACTAAACGAGGAGGGGGGCAACGAAGGGGAGGATTGCAGGACGAAACGAATTGGATGTTCTATACGAAACGGTCGAGCCAAACGGAGATGGCTGGATGGGGCACCATCCAACTTCCCGCTGCGTGTTGTGAATGACGGGCAGCCTGACTGACTTGACTCGACTCCATAGTCAAGTCAGTACGGAGTAGTCTAGTCTACTGTTTAGTAGTCTAGTTACTAACTCATCGCCTTGCCAGACAACAACGGTGCGACAGTTGCCAGATTCTGCTTTTTCTCCGGCCACCAACTTCATTCTTTCCACCCAAAAAGAAAGAACATCTGGTTTAGATCTCACCGTCTTTTTGAAGCATCGTCAACCCGTTGGCTAGCAGCGAGGACATTCATCCAACACATGAGCGAACTATTGCCAAAACTAAAGTGTAAAGTTCAGCAAGCAGACGCCTTCTGAATCAACCCGACCCCCTCCGAACTATACTACTTCCTGTACTGACCAGCAAGCAGGCAAAGCAAGCAAGCAAAGCAAGATGGGATGTGTTAATGCCAATCCATGCTAAACTAAAACTTCCTAGTTAGTAGGTCAAAGTTGCAACCGAACTCAATAAAGTGAGGCAATGACGCCGGGGCCAATGACAGCCCAGTTCGTCCGCTTCGAGAATTCCCGAATGACAGCCATGGCGCTTGATGATTGGCTGCTTTGCTGCCACGTTTGCTGTCCGAAGCCTTGGCGGTGGGGATCTCTCGGGCAGCAGTCTCCAATGATAATTGGCTCAATCTGTCCATGCTTTCTTTTTTGCCCGCATCATGGATCCATTCATTTCGAACTATTCTTGATCTGGTAGGTACTGCACAGACCATGAGCAATAAAAAGAATTAGCCCGGTTTGCGGTTTGCCCGGGGCGTTGTTGTTGTTGCTTCATTCTTTGGTTTGGTAGGCTGCCTGCCTGCTAGTATACAATCTCTTAGTATTATACTAATGATACTACTGTGATTGCAAGGCTTGCAGGGTCATGCACCTTCGTCTATATAAAGCAGTTCCGATCCACAGCCCCGTTTCTCCAACAACTATATCAGCCAAAGACATTGTGTAGTAGACACAGACCACCGGATAATAATGAAAGAAAGAACTATCAACGGAGTACACTTGGCTCATAGTAGTTCTAATTGTAATCACACAATGATAACAGCCCAAGCTACCAGCCTTCCCACGGAGAATTCCCAAAGTAACTAACTATTCCGTACCTCCCTTCGCCTTACTTACCCGCTCAACAGACAGACAAACAGACCCCTGCTGTCTTTTGAGACATGTATTAAAGATAACTCCATAAATACGGGGGTAATCCCTTAGTATAATTGCTTTTTATAACTACGTACGGAGTAGCCTAGGTACTGTAGGTAAGTTGAGCCCTGAAATTAAGATCAGCGGTTGAAACCACGATTATTCGGACTCGAAGCGCTTAACAGGTAACTATGTGGATACATAGTAGGCTGTGGTGATGATGATGACTGCGTTCATGTACAGGCATGGCATGGCATGGCATGAAAGTGGCTATGTAAGCAAGCAAGTAAACTTAGTTTTTTTATCCTGCTTGCATGCTGTACCTTGGTACATTAGAATATGGAGTGGACTCCATCACTATGCTTGCTGTGTGATGAGTAGTTTACTTTTTTTTTTTTCTTTTCTTTTGTACTCCATATTTAAGGGTACATAGAACATGTGTTTTATGTATGTATGTACTGTGATGCAGAGGTGCAGATATGCATATTTGCCTTGTTTTCTTGCTAATATCTAGCTATCACAATCTTGTTCAACGGTATATTTTTCTAATTCTATAAACTATAAGGTGTTATAACCTTTAGTAAAAGCAAACATTTATATCCTCTTGAGTAAGTAAATAAGTAAGTAGGTATCCCAACACAATATATTTCCCTCCCCAATCAACCCCATATATAATATCCACAAAATACTCCATACGAAGATACCAAGTAAGTAATAAGAACAATATACTTCTGACCCATCCAAAGACCAACCAGATACATCCATCCAAGACAGAACCTCGGTATATAATGGTATTCACATATCACATCACATCCCATCACCATAGTACTGTAAGTAGAAACCCCGATGGATGATGAGAAACTGAAACTGAAACCAATAAATGACCTCATTAATTCTCCGATTTCGCCCTACCGCCATTATTAGTAGTCTCATAACAGCAAAAGCAAAAGTGAAAAAAGCAAAAGTAGTACCGTATAGAGTATCTACTCCTTCCTACCTATCCCATTCCCTCTCTCAGTAAGATTTACCAAGTAATGAGTTTAACAATCATTGATCATCATCATCACCATCATAGACCCTTGACAATAATCCACGGTATACTCAACAGTAGCTGAGAAATGCGCGGAGTGGAAACAAAGCGGCAACTACTAAACTCATCGGATTTACCATGTCAAGTAAAGTAAGTACATACATAAGTGGACCGGGATCTCATCCCGTCTGTTAGTCAATCATCAACCCATCAATCAATCGATCAACTAATCGATCAATCAATCAATCAATCAACAAGTCCCGTCCCATGGAATCAAACCGTTAACCCACCTAGAATCCAAGCCTCAGCTGAATGAAGCCAGTGGGTAAGTAGGTGGCTGCCTGGACGTTGTGGAGCACACGCGGCAAATCAGTACTCAGTAGCACAGCTGAGCCTCATTTATCATCATCATCGAATGATTCATCAATTTGAAGACGTTCTAGAAAGTGCTGGGACCCGCGGTTAGAACTACGTACTAGGCTTCTGGGGTGGCACGCGTCGTAGTCGTCCGGGTTTGCCTCCCGCCCCGGGATCACGGATCATGGATGGATCCATGGGGCGTAGTTCTACTAGTAACTCCGTAGCTGGGTTTGCCACTGGGCGTGCCCCGGATCCAACCCAACATCCCATTCATCCGCATTACTCAGTGTGGTTATGGATGATCGGATGCGATTCTCGCTCTTTGTTTACTGGTGAGTCATCTTGTCCTACTTTTATACCAGTGGCAACGATCTTCGGTGGATATATTTCTCAATTGAGAGGTGAAAAAAAGTACTACTATGACATAATATGTACAACGGATGGGCCCGCAATCATCTCAAAAAAGTATACTCCAGATAAGAAAAGAAGAAGGAAAGTGATTACGCCTTGGGCCGAGACAGAAACGGATGTTTCAACGCCTCTGTCGGCGTGCACCGCTTCTCCGGATTGAGGTTCAAGCATCGGTCCAGTAGATCCACAAATTGGGCCAGCTCTTTTGCCTCACTGTCTGTCATGCCTCGTGTCTCCTTGCCTCCCATTAGCCGGGTCTTCAAGTCCCGCGTCGGCTTCTTGAAGTCCAGCACCCGCGTGACTGGTCGCCCGGTGATCTTATCCTCTTCCATGCTCAAGAAGTTAAGCATGTCATCGAAGTGCATCGGCGTCAGCGACCCTCGCCGCAGCAGCTTCGGCGGATATTTGCCACGGCATTCCATGATGGATCGTAGCATCTGGTTGTTGTTGCGCCCCGTAAACAGTATCTTGCCCGTGTACAGCTCGAACAACGTGCAGCCGATCGACCACACATCAATGGCGTGGTCGTACGGGATTCCCAAAATAATCTCGGGCGCCCGGTAGAATCGACTCACGAGATACGGTGTGATCTCGTTCTCCGTCGCCGGGGATGCCGATCCCAGGTCGCACACTTTGAGGATGTTGCGTTGCTCGTTGACCAACAGGTTGTCGGGCTTGAGGTCCGCATGGAGAATGTTGCACTTCCGCATCAAGCTGAGCCCCAGGAATATCTGCTGGGCATACGCCCGGATGGCTCGCAGGTTCAGACCAACGTCGCGGCCGAATTTCTTCAAGACCTCCCGCAGGTTCATGCTCAGGTTCTCAAACACCATGCACAGATGTCCCTTGTGGTCAAAGTACCGCTCAAACTTGATAAGATGCTTCTTGTCCTCCGGATCGGCCTCGTGAAGCTGCTCCAGTATGCCGATTTCCTTCATGCCCGCCTTCTTCATCGTGTCATTCTGGCGGATGATCTTGATGGCAACCAAGCCACCAGTCTTGGAGTCCGTGGCGCGTACGACCGACGAGAACATGCCTTTGCCTAGATTCTGCTGCACATGGTATCGCCCGTTAATCAACTCACCCAGCCGGACATTGTAATATCCTTCCGGGTCGTCCCAGTTGTCCATCATACTGATGTCGAGCTCTTTGGGCTGCGGGACTGCCGACTTAGCCGATGCATGCGTTGGCTGCGTAGTCTCCTGCGTGTCTTCAGCGAACATATCATCGTCATCATCCTCTGCGAACATGTCATAAGGATCCTTCGCTTTGGGCTGAGGCGGGGGTTGAACAGCATCGGGGAGCAGGATGTCCTGTCGGGAGGTTTGCGTCTCGTCATAAGACGCCGCAGACAACTCCTCATTAGTACCACGACTATCATGCCTCTCCCTCTCCGCTTTCATGTCCAAGGTAGGGTCGTAGTCTGCTGCAGACGGACCATCTTTGTCCACACCGTTTACCGGTGCGCCGTTCATTAAATCAGCATCTTTGCCTACTTTGAAGTCAGAGAACAACTCCCCTGGACTATCAGCAGGTGTCTCAGGTGCTGACAACGGTGCTGCTTCTGTAAACGAATACGCTGTTAGCTACAAATTCACTCACTTTGACACGATCTAGCGGTCAGAAACTTACCAGAAACAGCACTGCCTGATGCGGCAGTATCAGCACCTGGAGTGGACGAATCTCTACTACTTTCACCGATGTGAAGTGCCTGCAAACGCATCGGGGTAGCTTGGCCGCGGTATTTAGCCCGGATTGCTTCACGTCGTTTGCGACGGGCCTCTAACTGGGCTGCTTCGTCAAGGGGTTCGGCTGGGGGTTGTTCGTCGTGATTTTCGGACGCCCCATTCACACTAAAAACATTAGCTTAGTACCATCTACCGACTGGGAAGACCTACCTATCAACATGGGCATGTAAGGTGGCAGAAGCTTGCTGCACCTGAGGTTTCTGAGTTTCAGCATCTTGCTTAATACCTTGAGCGACGACTGGAGTGTTCCCTCGCTCGCTCACTGACTGTTCAATAGAAGCCCCCCTCCTGCGATTCCGAGAGGCAGTACTCTCATCTCTTGGAGACTCCCACTCATCCCCGGAATACTGCTTAGGCTTGCGAACTTCGCGGTACGGCGACCGGCTCCGCGTGCGCGCGCGTTTCTCTCTGCGGCGATCAGATTCGTCGCTATATCGGAGGCCATCGCCGTAGTGCTCTTCACGGTCGTAGTCATAATAGGAAGGCCGTGCGCGTCGGTCGGGTTGACCTCGTCCGTAGTACCGGCCGTCATCGTATCGGGATCCGACGCGTCGGGGAGGTTCGTGTCGGTATCGCCGGTCGTCATGGTCATAATCATCATATTCATCGTCCCGGCGCCGCTTGTAGCCTCTGTAATCGCGGTAGGGAGAACGGGACCGCGTACGCGAGGTCGACCTGGTCCTGGTCCTCGATCTCCGGTGGCGTGGCGATCTGCTCCGTGTCACGGATGCAGGACTAGCTCTGGTGGGACGGTCAACGATGCTGCCATTAAGAGGAAGTTTCGACGTAGTTGCCTTCGTCTCTGAACCTGATTCGATGATCTCACCCTCTGAAGGGGTCGATGGAGACCTCGACCTGCGGGATGCCATGGTGGTATATTACCAGGCTCACTCAGGGATCCTGAAGATGAACTAAAAAAGGTATGGGCTGGCTCTTCGAGCAGCTTCAGAGACAAAAGAAGTAAGTCCCGGTTAGCAAGAACGTTTCCGATGAAGCGTTTTTTGGGAGGAGTGTATTGAGAAAGTCCAACCGGCTGAGAATGCCACGGCCCTTGCCCTTGACTACCGTCTCAAGAAAGCATGAGACAGTGTTATGATGTGTTATTTGGTTTGAGGTTCCCTCAGATCCTTTTGTATTTCAAAAAGTAGATCGACAGAGCCAGATAGATGGGGTGAAGGATGGAAAGACTGGATGGATGGAAACTTGGCAGCGATATGAGGTGCGAAAGTAGCCAAAGTTGAGATGGGGAGATGCCCGGGCGGTGAGGGGCGGCCGCCGAAGATTTTGCGGCTAAGCGGAAAGGAGACTAGTGGCTCCCCGCGGGACAATCGCTGATAAGCAGCCGATTTTTTGCGACGCCGCGATTCTTCCCCTCCTCCAAGACTCGCAGCAAGCGCCACTTCAAATCCTCTTCCTCCACGTTCACTACACTTTTATTCTACGACACAATGGGTGGTCAAAGCAGAGAAGGTAGGATGTCGCCACTTATTCAGAAGCTCATCTTTCATAGCCTCATACTGATCCCCTTTCTGCACAGGTGGCAAGGTCAAGCCTCTCAAGTCCGCCAAGAAGGACAAGAAGGAGCTGGACGAGGATGACCTCGCCTTCCAGGCCAAGAAGAGAGCTGGTATGTTCTTCGTTACATCAAAATTTGTGGTAGTGACTTGGCTAATCATATTGGGCATCTGCAGAGGAGAAGGCCAAGAAGGAACTTATGGAGAAGGCCAAGGGCAAGGGCCCCCTGAACACTGGTAACCAGGGTATCAAGAAGTCTGGAAAGAAATAGTCGGACTGTGGGCTTGAGGTTCTATATGTCCTCACGAGATACAACGAGCTACGACCCACAACTCGGTGTGGAGTATTTGCATATGCATTGAGCACTAATACCATGAGCAACCACTTTTCTTTGACACCTTTTCATTTCATACAATAATGCACCTTTTGCTATCCACCAGAAATATCCATACCGTCAATCACCAGGATCAGCTTCATGATTAGGAGCCCCAACAAGCGGAAAGGGTATCATTGCGCACGGCACAGTAAGAAGATAGCCCACTGGCATCGTTAGGAAGAAGTAAACATAAACCCGCTGTATGCTGCCCAAGGGTATTCGCAACGCTCAAAGACACGCCTCGGCCAATATCCAGCAGCAGGAAAATCTGACCAAAGGATGGTGAAAAAGGAAATAAACAAAATGACAATGATAGAAGATTCAAGGGAAGGGAAGGGAATCCTGAAAGATACCCAGAAAAGAAATCCAACGGTCACAGCCGATGCTCTTCAACTAGTCACTCGTTTGACCCACAAGCTACCCCCACCATACCCAAGATCGTCGCGCTTTTTCCAAGCCCTGAACAGCTTCAGACCTATTTCGTGCTCTTCCCGCTTGATCTCCGCAAGTTCTGTCTCAAGGCTGGCCACCGTCCGCTTCACCTCGTCCCTGGCTGCCATGTCGTAGGCAACGGAGCTCGGCTGGATCACTTGAGTCAATTCATAGATGATTGTTTCGACGTTCGCTCTCCGGCGCGTCAGGGTGTCTCTGCGAGCCTCCAACGTCTGGATGCGGTTCTGGATCTGTTCTTCTGGTGTAAGTTGTAACTGATCCTTAGGCGGTTCGGCTTCAGCGGCCTGCGCCGGCGTGGGCTTTCTGGTGGGCTTTTTTGCTGGCGCAACGTTACTAGGTACAGGCCGTTTCCGAGACATGATTGATGGGACGTGTTCAGTGGACTGAGATGCGGCATCTATGCTACCGCGTGCACTTCCAACGGAGCTGGCGGTTTCTGTAGGTTCATATGTAGTAGCGCTGAAGCGGCTTGCAGGTTGTTCGGCCGCGTCATCAGTTGTCAACTTCAAATCAGCCAACGATGACTCCCAGTCATCTGGTGCGGGGAAATCAACACGGGGCGGCTCAGCACTGCTGACAATGCTCGGAGCCGGTTCCTCCGGGGTTCGTGCTCGGAGATTATCCCTGCTAGTTGTGTGCTTAACCCTCTCCGACGCCTTTGGCTTGGAATCACCAGCCGTAATCGTGGTCACAACAGTCGGAACAAACCCGCAAGTGGCATAATCGGGTGTCGTGCTGTGCGCTTCTCTTAGTCGATCGTTACTCCGGGACATGTGCACACGTGATGGTGATCTAGCCCTCGGCTTTTCCTGGATGGGTGCTATTATCGGAGCTCGTCCACTAGGTCCCTTCCAGGGCTCGCGCACACCGGGTGGGAGCGTATTCTCTGTTTTGGACAGCCGGGTGCGTGGCTCCGATAGTTTCCTTTTCGTATTCAAGTGATCCTTGCTCCAGCCAAAGATATTCGAGCTATGGGATGAGGCAGGCTTTGCCGAGATTTCGGTGCGGAACGAAACGCTGCCAGGAGTTGTCGGGCCAGATCTGCTGAAGTCGCTGGGCGTCAGCTCGCCAGATAAGTCATCCCATCTGGATGTCTGGCTTCTGGAGGACTTGGGCGTTTGTAGCCGGTCTGCCTGCGAGTTGGCGCGCTTGCGCAAGACGGGCAAATGGCTAGCGAATTTGGTGTTCTCCTTGTTCTCCATGGATCCGGCGCTCGAATCGAGTGTGAAGTCGTCTTCTATGGGTGACACACGCGAGCTGTCGCGACTCGCCGGTGGGCGACCGAAGGAGATGGGGGAATCCGGGGGCGAAATGCTTGCACTTTCGGGTCGATATAGGTCGTGAGTGAAGGTAGCTGGGTTTAGGAGATAATTTTGCGATAGGCTAGCGGAACGCTGGTGAGGCTGGTCACCAGTTGCAATGTCCAGGGCATGGGAGGTGGACGCGACCCGTCGACCCGTGTCGGGGCGTTGCGCAGGAAGGAGCGAGTCCGTCGGGTTGCTAGAACGTATTAGAGAACACAGCTACTTTTGATTACAGTCAGGAGAGAAGGATGAAACGACTTACCGGGCAATTGCGGGACGAGACTTGGGATGGGCCAGTGTGTCACTGCTCTGGTTGCCCGGAGCGGGGGACAGAGACCGGTAGACACTATCATCTAGGGTCTTGTCGATCAGTGTAGGCTTCCCGATCACGGGCTTCCGCGAACGATGGAAAGACATTTTCCCCCACATGTTGCCGGTTGGACTCTTGGGTGATAGAATTGGGTGAAATTGATGAGAGATCGGTGGTTTAAAACTGATTCAACAAATAAGTATGAGACCCCGCGAGGCTAGAACGAAAGTCCAAAATTCCGGAATGTGATCCGTATCTCAACGCATACCTTTAAAGTATTTCTAGATCGTGGTGGAATGGCTAAGCAAGGAGTGACACAAAACGGTCGCTGATTAACATAGAAGAAGAAAAAAGCAATATAGTTATGCTATGGCGAATAGAGGTGGGTTTCATGCAGCTGACATGCCTGCACGTCAGAGAGTAGAGCTGAATTGGAGCACAGCAGAGCGAAGGGGAGGGGAGGGAGAGAGAAAGAGAAGACGACGAAGGAGGAGAACTAGTGGAGAAGAGCGAGTGAACAATTAATTAAAGGGCTAAAGCTGGTGTTATACTACAGATAAGACCAGACAATTGGCTCGAAAGAAAGAAAAATAAATTAAAAACGCACGCAGATGCAAAAGCGAGGGGAAAGAATGGAGAAAGAAAGAAAATGAAAGAAAAGAAACACAGCTAAGTCAAGGTGGTCCTCTCTTTGAAAGCAAACCGGTTTGCCTGCGTGCGAGAAGCGGAGAAAAGAGTAAGTAATAGTAGTAACTAAAGAAGGGATGAAAATTAATGAATGAGAAATGAATGGAGCACGGAGAAGCAACTGACAGCACCAGCACCAGCACCAGCACTACTTGGATGCAGCCGGGAGGATCCTGTTTCAGAGTCAGTCGGTTAGTTGTGGATGGTCCTTCAATTCTAATTTTAACTGCCCCCATGGTCGAGAGCAGCCCAACGCTCCATCGCAATTAGAGGAGCATCCCAAAATTAGTATAATTACTTTTAGTATAGTTGAACCAGACAGCAATCTCCGTCGCACAGACTCTCAAACGGTCTCCCAGGAATGGTCCGATCAGTTGATCTTCTCTGCCTTAAGATTCTTTGGGTTAATCGTCCGAGCAAAGATTATCCACAATCAACAGTAGTAACTACTAGTTAGTAACTACTTAGTAACGGAGTAAACAAACACTTAAAATTATTATTTAATGCCTGACCCTTCAGGCATGCACAAGCATGCCTGCACGTGCCGATAACCCGTGCCGTACCGTATCAGTACCGTAATCGGCCCTGTTCTCCGCACTCAATCCCCCTTCACTGATTGGCTCTTCTCCTCAACTTCGTCATGATCGCGAGTTCCGCGGCTCTCCAACTCCAGCATCATCATCATCATCTTCATTCCATCACTTTCTCTATCCCCCTCACCTAAAGTTGACACACATCTATACCACAAATCTCCACTCACTCAACTCACCATGTCTACCCCAGGTACTCCCAAACTCTACACCATCCCCTAAACCAACAATAACAATCAATCAAATAAACTAACCCCATCCCTCCAGACGAAGCTGTCCCGCAGCCCGCCGAAGTGTCAGTTGCTTACTATCCTCACCACCACCAACATATTACCCTCTCCTCTCCTCTACTCTCCCCAAGGAACCCTCACTAACAAATAACCAATAAATCCAGCATGACAATCGCCACCCCCATCAACCTCATCCTCCTCTCCCTCTTCGTCATCCTCGTCTACCTCCAACTCCGTCCCAAAGCCCCCGTCAGCCTCCCCAAGGGTCCTCCCCCCGTCGTCTTCCGCACCTTCACCCCAACCACTCTCCTCCCCTTCAACGGCGAGAATGACGCTCCCGTCTACCTCGCTGTCCGTGGTCGTGTCTTCGACGTGACTCCCGGCAGGAACTTTTACGGACCGGTACATACACACTTTCCCCCCCCAAAACAACCAGTTTCCCCCCTCAAATAGAAGTAAGTAAAAATACTAATGAAAATCTATGAAACGTGCAGGGCGGTCCCTACGAGAATTTCGCCGGTCGCGACGCATCCCGCGGTCTGGCATGCCAGAGCTTCGACGAGGAAATGCTCACCAAGGATCTGAAGGGTCCGTTGGATGATCTGAAGGATTTGGATAACGAGCAGTTGGAGAATTTGCAGTCGTGGGAGGAGCGCTTCTCTGAGAAGTATTTGGTTGTTGGGAAGTTGGTGGCCGAGGGAGATCCGGAGGCTAAGAATGCTTGATCAGATATTCTTTATTTTTGTGATAGTGGAGTGGGTTCGATGGGTTGGGATTGTGGGTTGAGTTGGGCGGAGAGGGCTAGATAGATGTACGTTTGGAGATGGTTTCAAGAGACCGAGGATATTATCATCGAGTTCGGTATAAGCGATTCATATCTTATCTTAAAAGCGTTGGTATTTTAGTCATGCTGAAATGAGGATCAATTAAATTCAGTTCAATGGTTTCGGGATCTTAAGCTGACATTGATATGATCGGGTTATTGTACACTTGGTTGCATTGTTCGATTTGAAATATCAATAACTACTAAAATTTATTACTCGAAGAATTCCACTTCCACTATTCATCCTTTCCTTCCGTCCCCAACTTTTGCACCAGACAGGATTCAGTGAATATCGTAGACCGCCTCCACCCCCTCTCAAGACCCGCAGTCATTATGTGATGTCATAACGTCGTATCCCTTGAACAACGCCCCCGGTAAACATGAATAACATCGAAGGAAAAGTATCAGAAGCCGGGTTGGTCTGTTTACAGTTCGACGCGCATGCTCGAAGCAGCATGAGATCCCTGAGCCTTGGCTTTCTCAGCAGCCTCAGAACCCTTAGCCTTGGCCTTCTCAGCGGCTTCCTGACCCTGGGCACGGCCACTGGACGCGCCGATCTTCAGCTGGTCCAAAAGCCACTGGCCGGCCTCTTGCATCTTAGCGAAGATAGTTCCCGAAGGAGACGAAGTGCCGTAGCGGAAGTACTCCGCATTGCGGCGAGCAGCGGCGCGAAGTTCGTTGATTCCAGAGCCCTGGTAGACCGGGATGCCGTACGAGTCAAGGTAAGCCTTGAGGTCGGAATGAGTCCAGCTGTCGAAAGCGGAACCCTTAGCTGCATCGGTGGCCTGCGCCATGTAGGAGGTGGCCGATGCGAAGTTTGCACCACCGGTCTTGGATGCTTTGGCGTAGTTTTCCTGGGCTTGCTTGACAAGCTCGTCGCGAGTGATGTCGGCGCGGTGGGCTGCCTTGGCGTTCATGGAGGACAGGTACTTCCTAGATGGTTGTTAGGATATCCCATATACGGTCACCGGTCTGGAGGGGACTTACTTCAGGTGCTCGGTGTCCCAGGTATCAAAGGTCCAAGCAGACCAGCCAGTGGCTGCCTTGTGGCTGTGGAGCCTCACCTTAGCAAGGAGCTCATCACGCTTGCCGCTCTGAGGCACAGGGACTCCGCGCGCATCGAGGAAAGCCTTCAAACGCGAGTCGGACCATCCTTCAATGACTGTATCGAAGCTATCTTGGAACTTGGCTTGAGCAACATCTGTGGCCTTTTCGTATTCGTTACCAGCTTTGGAGGTTGCGGCACCAATGATCTGAGTAGCGGTGGACGAGATGGTGGCAGAGGCCTCCGAAGCCTGGCTAACCAGAGAGGCGCGGTGCTTCCTCGCCAGAGCCATGAGTTCATTGCGTCTAGATCCCTGGGGTACCTTGACACCGTGCTCATCGAGGAACTTCTTCAGATCGGAGTCGGACCAAGCCTTGAACAGGGCATCGCTCAGAGTAGCCTGCGCAGCTTCCGCGGATGCGGAGGCAGAGGCAGCGATGCTCTTCGCATTCAGACTGGCCAGTCGAGCGTTACGGCGGACCGATGCAATAAGCCTGTCGCGCGTGGTGGGCTGTGGAACCGGCCAGCCACGCTCATCAAGCCATTCCTTGAGATCAGACTCAGTCCATTGCTCATATACCCAGTTACCAGGATAGGCGACAGCCTCTCCAAGCTTCCTGGCAATAGACTCGTAGTTTTCGCGAGCAGTTTTCAGAAGCGTATCACGCTTGCGAGGCTGAGGAGCAGGAATACCATGACGGTCAAGGAACGACTTCAACTGGGAGTCGGTCCACCTGTGTAGACTATTAGTACATTATGTTACGTGAAGGACAGCCTCGCAGGTCTTACGTATCAAAGAGCCATTCCTTGGCATCATGCCAGTGATCATGAGAGTGCTGTGTAGCATGAGCCAGGGGCTTTTGGACTTTAGCTTCCCAGTTGGACTTCACAAGGGACTCTAGATCCTTGCGATCGGCCGGCGACGGGTACGGGATGTCTATAGACATTGTCAACTATGCAACAGAGAAGTATCTAAACGGGAAGGGAAGCATACCATGATCAGAAAGCCATCTTTCTAACTCGGTTTCATGCCATTTGTTGTAAACTGATGGATGTTAGCGGTTGTCTCGACATGGGAGCAGTCAAAGCAGTCAATGGTATAGAGGTTGACATACCAGCCTTGCTAAACCAGCTGGAAGCTCCAACCGCCTCAAAGGTTGCGAGCGCAAATACCAGATACGAAGCCAAATGAAGCTTCATCCTGGCGAGAGGTAGAGATTATATCGAGCGTTGATTGTTGTTGTTTGCTTATAGGGTCAAGGTCAGCTCTCGCTCTACCATGAACCATGTAAAGTATCAGTGAGAGCAACTTACAATTGTGAATTGTGAGATCTTAAGCAACAGAGATTAAGACTACAACGTCCCGGGATGAAGATATTTATTGGTCGCAGAGCTGGCGATCTCTCGTCAAAAAGAAGAATCAGGGAGGCGGCGCGGGATGAGCGTCGAGTGACGTATGACGAGGAGCAGGCCAGCTTCCCCCAATTCTGGCGTCATCGATGATAGAGTGGCCCATAGTTAGTGCCCCAGCTGCAGTTGAGTAAGCTTTGCTGGCTTGCTGGCTGACTCCATTCACTTGTCCGGTTCTTTGTCCCACCACCTGCGACCGGGGGGGACTTTCGTGACTTGGTTGACTCTGTGAACAAACAATATACATCAAGTATACTATTGATGTTTCTTAATGCAAGGCACATGATCTGCCGCTAACTCTTTAGGGCGATCGGCCCAGCCTTGCCTATTTGGGCAATGCGGAGACGGGCGATAAGGAGAACAAGTGCTTAGTGATGGCTAGTCAAGGGAACTAATCTGCTAACTCATTCCTCACTCCTCCTACTTTGGCACTATCTACCCTACTCAACTAATATCTACCTGACAAGTCATCCTCATCCACTTCCTCTGCCACACAGGTCCAATCAACGCGGGTGTGTGCTGGTATGAGAATGTTGTTTTAGGATCCAATAATCCGCCGCTGTCTCGGGCCGCCTCCGCCTTTCCCTCCAAACCGCCCCCTATGCTCGGGGTATATCTAATGGTCCAGCTGTGCTCGACATCCCGCTTGCTGAATAAATTGATTTGATTCATACTATCTGTCTGGAACAGTTGTCTCTGGCTGGTGACAGCCATATATCAGGTATATACGTGGTCCTGTGTGTGCAGTCACAGTAGCTTCTCAACATGGACCTCTCCAACCCGCGATGCGAGCATCTGGCCTCGCCTGATATCAAAAACTTCATCCTCTCCATGTATGTATTATCTTCCAACCATTACCCAAGTCAACTCTAGCTCAAGCTAACTGCATCCAGCCTCATCGTCTTCGGAATCCTCCTCTCCTACACCCCCCAACATGTCCGCATCCTAACAATGAAGACCTCCTTCGGTATCTCACCGTACTTCGTCCTCCTAGGAACCACATCTGGTTCCTCAGCACTAGCCAACGTAATCTCGCAACAACAAAGCCTTCACGACATGGCTTGCTGCAAGGAAGTCAACGGAATGGGCTGTTTCGCAGGAATCCTCGGAATCCTCCAAGTCGGAACCCAATGCCTTTGCTTCTTCATCATGTAAGTCTAGCCCTATCCCCCTCTCATTATTCTCACCCAAAAGATTCTAATACTGATATCGAAATTCAGTCTCTTCCTCTTCGTCCTCTTCTTCCCCCGAAACACTACCCACCTCCCCAAATCCAGCCCAACCTACCGCACCGCCTTAACTGTCGCCGTAATCTGCATCATCCACGCCGCCGTCATGCTCATCACCACCCTCGCTGTCGGCTACACCCGCCCTTCTTCCCTCCAAGCATGGTCCAACTTCTGCGGTATCCTCTCCGCCCTCCTCGCCTCAATCCAATACTTCCCTCAGATCTACACCACCCTGCGACTCCGCTGCGTCGGATCGCTTAGCATCCCCATGATGTGCATCCAAACACCCGGCAGTCTCGTCTGGGCGGGTAGTCTAGCAGCGCGATTAGGTCCGAAGGGGTGGAGTACATGGGGTGTGTTGATTGTGACTGCTTGTCTGCAGGGAACGTTGCTGTGCTTGGGTGTGTTCTTTGAGTTCCTAGGACCGAATCGGGGACATGGTCATGAAGGACATGATAAGGATACTGTGGTTGTGAGGAGTGAGGATGGGGAAGAGGAGGTGGCGCATGAGGATGATCAGGACTTGCCATCCGAGGAGACGCCTTTGTTGAGGGATCAGTGATGGTCACCTTCATTTGGTTAACTTTTTGGGGAGTCTGATATGTGGTTTGTGGTTGATTGGTCGGTTGGTTCGAAGATGCAAAAGCGCAAACCTGTACTTCTTCTGAGTTCGTCCTGTTCTGTTCAGATATGCCATGTATATCCTACCTACATACCTTGCTTGGATAGACTATACTTCTTGGCTGCAATGTATCAATCGCTGCTGGCGCAGCTGTGTATGATTGACTGTGCTCGGCTCCAGGCACAAACATGATAGAGAGAAAGGGGCGGATAGTATAGTATATATATTAGTGAACAAAGGAAGAGAATAATATAAACTCTCACAATGAAAGGACAGGGGAATAAATTGAATCACAGCAACCAAAAAGCAACGTGTCGATCCTCTTGGAACTAATTCATTAACTTCATCTCATGGAAAAGCTGTCTACTGAATGGGAGCCCCCTAAGTCACCCATCACACACGTCACACCAAAAACCCCGCTAATTCCTCATGATTCAAATTTAACCCATGATGAGACGGAAGATGTCGTTGAAGACGTAGTAGCTGCCACCCTCGGGGTTGAGAGTGAAAGTCTGGGTGTAGTTCATGGGGCGGGGCTCATCATCGACCTATTAAGAAAGGCGGAACTCAGTCAGTCAAATGAACAGCAAGCCAACCTCGGTTGGTTTAGGGGGTGCGGGTGCGGGAAAAGAGGGAAGGCATTCTTCCGCTAACGAAGGCAGGGTACATACGATAAGGGCACCGGTAACCATGACGATGATGCTGCCGTTAACAGAGGGCTGAGCATCGAGAGTGGAGATCTGGTGCTGGACCTTCTGGAAGGGAAGGCTCTGTAATTCATCGCATCGCATGTGTCAGTCAAGCGGGTAATGGGTCCTCAAGCAAAGGCTAGTGAGAAAACTAACGGTCAGCTTCTCCATGATGGGGGCGACGCTCATCTGAGAAGAGGTCTCAAAGGTGAGCATGGAGTTATCGCGCTATCAATCAGGAGATGAAATCGTTAGCCAAATGAGAGCATACTATAGAGGGATTGCGGGGTATTCAGCGTACGTAGAGACCGGCCAGCTGCTGACGGTCCGAGTCGAAGGTCTGGTAGTAGAATTGCACAAATTGCTCTGTTCGTAGCGACATATGTTAGGCCATGTTATGGGGGCAGTCAATTTGGGTAGACTCGGGTATCTGCGACGCATATGGGAATAGGAGGGGACTGTCTGATGCGACGATGCATGCAGGCATCCCCTGATTGATGGGGTATGGGAGCCAGATCGGAGGTGATAACACGTACGTGCGATGTTCTGGAAGTCTAAATGTTGAAGGCATTGCGTTAGCTTTCACTGTCAGGATTGTCTGCGATGGTGGTTGTGTGTTTCGCTGTGGAGGGGAGCCCAAGAGCCTCAGAGAGGGGCAGCAAAACATCAGATGAGATGGACGGGGCGTCGCATCGAGGAGAGCAGCGGCGCAAGAGTGGACTTACCGGCCATTTTGATGGATGTGGTATTTGTGAGATCTAAAAAGAAGAGGATGCAAGGAGATGAGGCAGTGGCAGTGGGATAGACAGGAAGGAAAGAGTCGAGGTTGACATCAACATCAAAAGTATTTCCGTCGCGAGGGGAATTGTGGGGCGCCGCCAGGGTCGGTGCCTTAGCGCCCTTAAGGCAGCAAGCATGACACTCCGCTCACTTCTTACAGCCTCACTTTCATACATCTTGTCGACTTATAGTATCTACATCTGCAACCGAACACCTACTACGCGGTAGACAGCCTCCATTGTGATGTGCATAATACGAGAAAAGGTATCGTAGCCCGACATTATAACCTAGTAATATAGACATATCATTCCGTCTTCACCATCCAGACCCGAGCAGCCCTATATCACTCATCGTCTGAATCGGCAAACATATCTTCGGCTTTGGGCCGCGGCTTTCGGGCTGGCGGTTGGTACTCCGGTTGGGCTGGTGGCTCGGCTGGTTTTTGTGGTTGCTCTTCCGACTCCCTGGGATCTTCCTCTGCAGCAGAGTCTTCTTCCATTGGCTCCCCATCCGGCCCTTCCAGGTCGCTGTCCTCCATAGGTTCTCCATCAATATCACTCATAGATTCCCCATCAAAACCCTCAACCGCTGCTGGCGCAGCCGTCGGCTTATCGACATCCATCCGGTGAGGATGTGTTTCAGACGCTCGCCCAGGATCAAACTTCCCGGAGGTAGCATCCTCATCGACAGTCTTCCAGCGGCTCTTATTCTTGGAGAATGCGGTCGCGGCGCGTTCGGCCTCCGCCTTCTCTCTCTCTTCTCGTAACTCCTCTTCTGTGAGTGGCGGCTTCTCAAATATCTGGAAGAAGTGTTCTTGGCTTGACTGTGGAAACACACACCAGCCTTCCCACAGATGAAGAAGAGTGCCAACGCTGCGCTTCCACTTTTCGGCCCTCAGCCGACCCCATCTGAAGTCCTTCTCAAGTCTACCCAAGTGCTCGAAAACCTGGTGTGTCTTCAGGGCAGACTCAAACAGCTGTCGATACCGCCAAGCATGTCGCACCCCGCTCGTGGCGGAAGATGAGAGGATGTCGGAAACTAGATAGAGACCGACTAACTTCGCAGCTGATGTATCTAGATTCTCCTTCGTCGGTGGCCGCCCTTCTTCAGCGGGATTATCCTTGGCTAGGTCTGCTTGTTCACGACGGGCAATTCCTGTTTCTGCCTCACGATCGGGATTCGCCCCAGTGTAGGCAAACGGGTTCATGATGTTCGATACAATCATTTCCACGACTTCGTCGGCCCCTGCGCCCGCGTGCTCAATGGCGAAAGCAGTAACTCGAGCAACATCTCCCTTTCGTAATTTGGCATGCGTAGTCGGAAGTCGAGCAAGCAGATGGGTTAGCTTGGCCTTCTGTAAAGGATTCATATAGCCCAGTCCCTCATTTGCGGCGCCAGGGCCCTCTGCTGGCGGTGCACCGCCAAGGTTCCGCCTTTCGTCCTCATAATCCGACATCTCTTCGTCAGAGGAGTCGTAGTCATCGTCCGTTACAAACTCGTCCATGCGTGTTGTATACTCGAACTTGATATGTGCCTCCGGCGGGGCCCAATTCGCACCACCCTCGAATATAGTGCATGGTGGTTGCGGCCGACCCCGTCGATTTGCTGGAGGGCGGGTATTGGTGAGAATCTCCCACAGTTTCCACCTATAGTACACCCCACCAGCACTTCTAGCATTCCAAATCCATGCCCATTTCTCGTCTCTCTGAACCTCGGGTCTGCTCATGAGCAGCGCCTCAAACTCCGGTCCATAGCTCAATAAGTTCTCCAGTGTCTTGTGTATCAACTTCAGTTGTTTCAAGTCTGACGGTGCCTTCACCTCAACCTGGGTGGAAGGACCAGGCCTCCCATAAGCCAATCCGTACGACGATGGTGGCGCGAATCCTCCACGATGCATACCCGGGGGTGGAGCACGATTGAGTCGACCAGGAATATCGGGCGTTATCGACTTGGCGCCAAAGGGAAGAGAGCTTGCGGAAGACAGGCCGACAGTGACCGGCATCGTCGAGCCAATAGCGGCAGAGGAAAGGTGTCTCGAGATTGTCAAATAGTATCCCCATCCTAGATATCTGTTCTGTAGAGCGCTAACAGTGCTATCGATATCCGAGGCCGCGGACTCATTCGCCAGAGTCACAATGGCGGCTACCGATTTCCGGTCGTTTATAGGCTGGCCCGGGGGTCGCAGGATCTTGACATTGTCAACAGTCAACACAGATGGTATCAAAGACTTAAGCACCGAAGGCGAAGTTCCCGGCGGTAGGGACGCAAGATATAACGTAGGTTTCGCAGCAGCCCGTTCAGCCTCTTTCGCATCAGCAGCTGCTTCATCCTCATCGTCCGAAGCACGGAAAGCCGACGCGGCAGCCGGTGCAGGATTATCAAACCCCAATACCCCCGACGCTGTATCCCGATTGCGGTGTAATGGCTGGAATCCTTCATGTGGGCGCTTTCTCGGAGGTGGTGGTCCAAGAGTACCAGGACCGCTCAAGCGCGGCCCCGAGCTCGTGAAATGGCGTTTTCCGGGGCCTCCAAAGCCTGGATTCTTGGGGGGAAATCGGCTCAATCGTCCATCGGAGGCGTGTCTGTCGTGAGCTGGCGAGTCATCTTCGAATGACTTGACGAAGTCCTCGTATACGGCGGCGGTCTCGGCTTGCTCGCGGGCTCGTTTGGCTTCCGCTTCGGCTTTCTGGCGTTCGAAGAGCGACTTCTTGGGGATTGCGGACAGTTTGGCCGAGATGTCCGGGAAGCCTTTTGATTTCGACTCGTCCGACATGGCGGCCAAGCTTCAGCGGCGAGAAGCCTCTTGTTGGGGGAGTAGGTATGTTTGACAGAGGGGGAAATTGGAGAAGCTGGTCGGTCGGTCGGCCTTGGGCGCGGAGGCGGAGATAGACCTGTTGCGGCCTGAGGCATGCATGCATCAGCATAGCTACTGCGACTGCATCTTTCTACATTGGGATGCTATCTGCATGTCCAATTGCGAGGGACTTGCTCGTAGTACTTGCTATGTTCAGCCTACAGATTGTTTCTTTTAGACAGAGACGGAGAGCCAAGCTCAGCAAAATGACGCCTGTGTGATTCTACGGACTTCATGGATAATGAATGATGCAATTCTGCAATTCTGCAATAGCAACGAACTGACCAACATAGCGCCATTGAGTATTATCTCAGTGAACAATGCAACTAAGATAACTTGTCAGGTTACTAGAGTACAAAAAGTAAGAAAAAGCAAAAAAAGATGGGAATGAGCCCAGCCCGGCTCGATCGGACAACCTTACGATCTGGAGTCGCTGTTGATGTGGTTAGTGGATGTTGGAACCATTGTTTGATTCAGTGAAACTTACTACGCGCTACCAATTGCGCCATAGGCCCATTTGTTGAAAAACGTTTTTAGTAGGTCAACCCATATCGAGCGAACTCAAGATCCCTATGGAGTATGCTCGCTCGTCGATTCTTCTTGGAGAGAGTTTTGATGAAAGCCATGAATAACTGATAACAAATGATTACTGTTAGTTCATTAGAATATGGAACTGCCATAGCGCGCTTATATTTGGTGACTGATAAAGTCATGCTAGCTTTGGTTGCCCCGCGTTCTTCGCCTCGGTCTCGTTCACGCTCTCTTGCTCTTTCACTGTCTAGGTCTGGTGGCAGTATGGCAAAAGTTGAGCTCAGGCTTTTGTACTATATGAAATTTGTATGCTAGTCATGTAATTTCACATGCTGTCATTGGCTTTTTTTTTCCGTGGTTGTATCGCAGTCAACTCCTCCGTCGGAGGGGTCATTGGATGTCTGGATATATATTTCCGTAGGATCATGCACAAGTCATGCCACCGGCCCTCAGCTAAGTACCGGTGATTTCCAGTAAACAGTACCAGTAGTGACACGGTACCTCAATATCAAACACGCCAGCTACGGATGCGCTCTTAATGGGTAGTACCGTGAATTCACCGTGGCTGGTGGCATGCCAAGGCTTTCAAGTTGTAGACCTCAAATCCAGTAGCTTTAACCATGGAGTATATATGAGAGGCTTGGATACCAAGCCAACTGCCATTAATACAGACCATGCTGCTTTGTGCCGAGCGGCTCATGCCCGACTCGTGCACCGAAGGCATGACATAGTGGCACTGAGATTGTGCCACTGGATATGAGAGCGTAACATAGAATGTCCCACAAAGTCACCGCTAGACCTGCCTTTCTAGTCAATTCAGTGGTGGTTGGATATGTCGATAGAATGAACCCCAATGTCCGAGAACCACCTCCCCAAGCGCACGGTGACTGAACTTTCTTGCCTGATCAGCAAAGAAATCATATCGTACCCTTGCCGAGATATGAAGGAAGTATCCATACGGGGATACCAGACTGGCCGGCACACCTTATCAGCACATATACACACCCACTATTGCTAAGTATTGTGAATATCCTCGTACTCAGAGCGCCAAACCAGTGCGAGGGCGTGCAAAGTTAAGATGACGATCTTACCGCAAGGCCAAAGGAAAGATCCGTGCGTGAGATCGGACAATGGCGATATCAGTGCGTCACTGAAGGAGTAGAGGATGTCTGACGTGTGAACTAAGAACATGCGCGCCAACTAGTACACTTAAAGTAAGTGATCAGTTCACCCAATTGCAAGACATCTCTACAGCAAGGTCGGGAAAGAACTGGAACCGACCACAAAAAATCGGCCCAAGCGATTCTAGGATGCAAAGAGCGTTGATGGGAGAACTCCGACGACTCCATTCCCAGAGAGTCAATGCTGCCAATCCACCAATAGACGTGTAACAGCACAGCGAATCTGAGTGCCTCAGTTCGAGAACCTGAAGGCTCCGATAAAAACCCGCGTGTGTTATCGGATCATCCCAGAAGCACCACTGGGCCGATTACGAGTATCGACAGTTCCACTAGGCCCCGGGCGATTCCTGGTTACACGACCCAGGGACTGATGTCAGACAATTAGTAGCAGCCTTGTGCCAACCCAGGCCTGTTTTCCAACCCAAAGCGTTGCATCCTGACCTGTGGGGGATAATTCACGATCTGGCCTGGAATGTGGACTGGTTGGAAGGTCTGGCCGGGCTTCAGACAGAACCTGCGGACTCCGTCGGTTGTAACTGCTGTGAGGGTGTAGTCTCTCCACAGAGCGTCCAGGGTACCTGACAGCGGATAAACCCAACCACATGGCATACCCAATGTAGGAGGGTCATAATGGTGGGCCATTTGGAACAACTAGTCTGAGCCAGTTGTGAACTGTGAGGGGTTATGGTGGCTCCGGGTCTTTTTCTTAATTGTTGTGGCCTGGTCATCGTTGGTTCTCAGCAGATTGCAGTCTGACTGGTTGATTGTTACTAGGCAGAACTCCACCTTCAGAACCACTATTTCTTTGAGATCGGTGCGTGGATCCATCGACGGGAAACTTCCTCTACTGTTGTGATATTTAAAACGGTTCAGCCAATCGGGCCGGCCACCAACACCAGAATGAAAGAAGGATGCCGCTTAATCATCTTTTCTTGACCAGAACAAAACACAGCTTGAACAATGGACAGCTTCAAATTGTCGACCGTCTGAAGCCATGCCAACAAACAAAGGCAGTTTATTGATTAGTAAAACCTCGACCGAGGAAAAGCCCGCCATTGTATGAGACATAGGCACAATATGGCGGCTTTTTTCATGGCCTACCTATTGCCTTGTTCGTCATCATCCAAAACCCATAGCTGTAACAAGCCAGTCTGAGAAGCCATGGGATCCTTGTGTCACCATGGCTTGCCGTCTGATTGGATTAGTATATAGGCATCTCATGCTGTCCATGGCAGAATATGTTGAAATCATAGTTTATAACGAGCTGGCATCACAGCTCCGGCATAGAACCCTATCCGTGCTATAACTCGGCACCAATCATTCGCTATGGGCAACTGCGTTTCTTCAAGTTGGGGGAAGTGGGCGTTGTGTGTACAAGATAGCGCGACTTCGGCCCGATCTTGGTCTTCCACAGACTTCAGTGTGAGGTCACTTCTATCCCAGTCACTACCAGAGCAGCCATCGACCGAGCCGTCATCTCCCGAGCAGGAAACAGCGGAGCAGGCAGTGCTCGAAGAACCCCGAAAGGTATCTCAGAATCTCGATACTCTGCCTGCAGAGCTATTCGACATGATCGCCAGCTACCTTGACCGGGATGGGCTCTATAGCCTCTATCTCGTCTCCCAAAGGGTGAGCAAACTGGCATACCCGTCCATTCTTGCTTCCTTACATGCCAGGAAACACACCGGGCTCACGCCCATAGAGATCGAAAACATTCACACTCTGGCGATTGATCCCACAATCAATCACCTTCCCAGGTCGTTGCATGTAACCGTGCCCTATATCGGGTACAGTGCTGCACGGAAGGTAAGTTGGGGGCGCCTATCTTACGACCGCAAGGCCCTTCATGAGCTTCCAGAGATGAAAGCATTGAGGCAGGACTTGAATCGGTTAGTCAACTGCAAGGAGTTTCATTTCACACTCACCAGGGCAGGGTCGACTTTGGAGAACAAGATCATGTACATCGAGGACGCTCTTTATGCAGTCCTTGCTGAAAACACCGTCCCAGTCGAGAAACTCATACTGGACAGCAGGGTTGTTAAGTCGCGGGCGAACGAGAAGTCAATGATGCACCCAAATCTTGCAAGGGTGTGGAGGCGCCTGAAGTCGCTCAAGATTACCGAGTCGCCCTCATTGGATTTTTCGAGAGGTACTGCTCTCTCCCACATCCTTCAGCACGCCCCAGAACTTCGAAGCCTTTCCCTCCACAGTCTAGCTGACACCCCTGCACGTCGTTCAACAATATTCAAGTTAGCCAGCTCCGCAAACATACGAACTAACCGACTCGAGAAGCTGAGGCTCTCTTATCTCACAGTTGAGCCGGAAGATTTGATCATGTGGCTGACACGCTTTAATAGTACCCTGAGGATACTGGACCTTCAATCCATTGGCCTGGCGCACGGAAGCTGGGTCAATGTAGTCCAGCACATCCTCGACTCATGTCCTAACTTGCAGAAAGTTGTTGTGGACTACCCCTGGGTTTCTGAATGGAACCGGCGTGCCTGGGATAAATTTGAGTGCTCGGGGCCAGATATTCGGATAAAGCTAGAGCAATTCAAGCAGAGCGCCACTGAAGCCAAAATTTAACTTGTCAAGGGCGACGTCCCGGCAAGTATCCACTCGTTTGTGTACAAAAGTACGATCTCTGTATATGTTTGAGTTTGGAGATGCTGTCTAGTACATAGATTCCTTTTGTTTGTTGTGTGTACATTTCTGTGAACATTCCCATACTTTCGTCGTGTCTATTGCATGTTTTGAGGTTCCGCTCTATGTGATGTAAGCTGCCCACCCTTTCGGTGTTTGCTTTTCTTTTTGTCAATTTTTGTTCTGTTCTTTCTTTTTTTTCTACCCCTCTCATTCATTGGCCCTTGATTAGATGGTTCCTGACAGACAGGTACCAGATGCCATGGGTCGCCCACCATCCGGATCATCCCATGGTCTATATGACCGGCAGGAGATCGTGCATGGTAGCGAGCCAGGCTACCATCACTTGCTTAGACTATTGCCCTTAGCATAATATAATTCAAGAATTGTGTTCAACCATTGTGTGTGTCTGTCACTTGACCTGAAGCCTGTGTGACAGGCCGGAAACGGCGAAAAGAGCGTCCGTCCATTCCTATGATATAATGGCCCGACCGCATGATAACCAAACCGCGTAGATCTTGAAGATGCGTGCATCCTTACCCAAGCCAGGGATTGCGCGCGCCTTTCCGAATTCGGCCAGATAGAGTTTTCCGAGCCATGCACTACTTCAACTAGGTCCTCGCGGGTTCCACCGGCAGCACCTCACGAACCCTTCTTCAGAGTCGGGCGGATATGACTAGACCCCTCTGTCTCCAGTAGTGGCCGCTAGTTTGGTTGGTCCTGGCCGTTTTAGTTTTTTTCGTTCCTCGCTTTTGCCTCCAGCGAGATAGTCCGCCTCCTGGAGGTTGTCCGAACTCGAGGCGGATCATACCCGATCGAGGCAAAGAAGGTGTGGGTTTCCATGTGTACGGTTAGTTTAGCTCATTTTGGCATATTTGATTGTGGAGGATAGGGCGGATCAAGGGACCAGGGAAGATGAATGAATGGAAAGAAGGGAATCGAAGTAGAAGAAAAAGAAGAAGCGCCCACAACGCAGAAAAAACAAAATATCCACCGATCGGATCAGATCACCTATGGAAAGGTCTGTAGACGAGATACTTGGAATTAGCGAAGTCATGCTGCCAAGGAACGGGATGAATCCGGAGCACACCGCTTGGGACTAAGGGAAGAAGCGACCGGTGTCTCTGCTGCAGGCGCCTCTGACGACGATGGGGGGGAGGAAGATGTAGTGTAGTGTTTCAGGCCCAAAGTTGCTTCGCAAGGAGGGAGGAGAGAGAGAGAGAGGGGAGTGGGAAAGTGGGAGTGTGGGTGCGTTACTTGAGTGGTCACGCCTCCACGCCGGTTGCTTGCCGGGGTACTTTGCCTCATACTTTCAGCGCCGGATAGGGCCTGAAAAGATGACAAGAACCATGGCCAGTGTTTCACGTCTGTTATTCGAAAAATTTCGTTTTTTTAATTTTTATTTTATTATTTTATATACTTACAGATCCTTTCTTACTTACATGGAAGCAAGTGGGTAGTTGAATGTTCTAGGCCAGCACGGCAGAACAGAAAAGAGGGAGGTAGACTACCCCGTATCTGTCACTACGACAGCGCGACTAGATAGATAGATAGTAAGTAACCCGTAGTGGCGAGGCGCAGCAGTAGCTACATGCCACAAATAGAACACAAATCGACTATGACGGGAGGAGACGGAGTATCTATCTAGAGACTACGCAATAAGAATGAATGGTTTGATAGTTAAATGGAAGGACTTGCTGAAATTTAATTCTTTTCCAATGTCCCAAGTCCATCCTTTCGTTTTCATTAGCTTGATTCTTGTTATTGTTGCAATCCAGCGTCACTCTCTTTCTTGGGTCCCGAAAAGAAAAGAGGCCGCCCACTTTTTTCGCTCGTTTGCCCACTTCCAGTCCGCGCTAAACCCCCTTCGGCCACAGCTCGGGCGGCCCTGGCTTCCTGAGGCAGCAGCCACTCCGTCCCCAACTCGTCCGACTGACTTGAACTGGCCTTGACTGGCTTGAAACTCGGCTCTTCTTCCCCTTCCCTTCTCCTCTTTCTCATTCCTCCCTCCACTACCTAATCACCACCACCACTACCACCACCATCACGACCTCCTACCCTCTCCCACTTCCATCCCACCAACGCTTCATCCTCTCTATCCTCGTCCTATCTTTTTAGATACCTTTCTTCCTTTGGCTGTCGTGATTTTTATCACTCTTTTATCCCCTTCCTCTCCTTCCGACTCGTCACTCTTTCCCGCTCACTCTCTCTCGCTCTCTCCTTCTTAACTCTCAATCTCCTCTACTCGGTAACCGGCTTCAGTCGACCCAGGTGACTGGCCGACTCCTCTGAGAGATTGATTGAAACAAACAGGTAGCCCGACAGGGCTGTTCAACGCCATGTCTGGGCGTCTATCATCCGACCACAACCGTTCCTTCTCGCAGTCCTCGCGACCCCCGTCTCAACAAGTCGATTCAATGCATCATCGTTCCATGTCTGGTCGCTCCTCCAACCCCAATGTCTTCTCCGACGAATACTCCTTAGAACCTATCGATGCCGAACAAGCCACTCTCACCCCTCGAAGCCCCTCCATCTCCTCCAGTGTCTCCTCCAACACCCTTCGTGGTTCGGTACCCCAACAGCAGCAGCCCAAGGCCTACAACACCATCCCTCCGACCGATGCCGAATTAGCTGAGGATCCTTTCGGCGATGAGGCTCGGGTTTCCTTCGATGAAACCCCCCACCGATCGAGTCTTCCTCCGAAGGGGGTGGATCTAGCGAATCGCAACTCCGTCGCGTCCACCGCTCCTTCCATCACCAGTCGCAGCCAAAGTGCCTCCTCGCGTTTCTCCATGCCCGTTCGGGCTTTGAGCCCCTACACGGGGGCAACCGGTCCCAGCCATCCGTATGCGATGTACCCGCAGGTCGGCGTTAGTCGCTCTCCCAGTGTGGCCACCACATCGACATTACGACCGGTGGACCGACCGTTAGAGGACACGACTGCCCCTCAGCATCCGTATGCAATGTACCCACAGAACGTGGTAGCAGAGGATGACGGAATTGACAACTCCATGGTACCTCTTGGCTTTCCCGGACACAACGCGCAAGTCTATCAGCGACCACCTAACCGGGCCGATGACGACCTTGGCGACTTAATTGGACCGGATGGTCATACTGAACAACTACCTCCTTACTCTCGTTATCCCGAAAATGCTGTTCCCAAAGTGGAGGGCACCTTTGCGACCGTCAATGATGCTGGCATCATACAAGACGAAATCCTCCATAATGAGCGTGCTGGACCACCCATGTCGGAGGTTTCCTCAAATACACTAGTGATGGAAAATACAACCAGTGGAGGCGGTAACAGTAACGGTAACGGTAACGGTAATGGAAACAGAGGCCTCGAAGAGCCGCCGGTCACTGGGGTCATGGCATTCGAGGAGAAATTGAAGAGTAAAGGCAAGAAAAAGGCATGTTGTGGATTACCGGTCTGGACGCTGGTTTTGGTGGGAGTGGTTATGCTTATTGGGGGGTGCATTGGTGGTATTATTGGCGGCGTATTAGGGGCAAGAAAGGCAGCCGAGCAAGACCACGGAGGCCAGCCAAGTCGCCCACATATCGTGACGGTGACGGAGACGCCCAGGATGGACGCGACTCCAGTGACAGCCACGCCCACCAATCTGCTGACGCTTCCTACTGGCCAATACGCTGTCCCCGCATCTCCTAAGAACCAGTCGAAGTTCTGCGTGGCTGATTCGGACTACCGCGTGTCGTGGGGTTGCCTCAATTCGGGCAAGATCCCTATCAATGTTGGAGGCACGGACGAGCAACGCAATATTACATTCGAGGACTCATACGACAGCGCTTATTCTTCTTCACTCACTTACGGTGCCCAGCAGCCCGTCTTCTCTAACCCCACTCAGAATTTGAGTATGATGATGGACTCCAATGATCTCAGCTTTGGCCCAGCTTTGACCTTCATGACGTTCTATGATAAATTGGTCATTGTGCCGCAGGATAGCTTCCCATCGAGCTCGTCCTCCAAACGAGACTATGTGACTGAAGATGAAGTCGTGTCGAGTATGCTGAGTCGCAAGGAAACGGCTCAGGCCGGCGACAAGCCGTGGTTCTGTTGGTGGAATAGCACGGTCATGGAGTTCTTTTTGTACATCAATGAGACGACCAAGGAGTATCAGTACAGCAGCACCGCAGTTGTGACGACAACAAGCACTCAGATAGCGCAGGCCACTCAAGGGAGCTCGAACTCCTACTCCAAAAGAGACAGCAGCAGCAGCATCGCCGACTACCCTCGTCGGATCAAGATGGAGGAGAAGCGAGACAACCCTTCAGCCGCCAATCCATACTGCCAGCAGATGCAGGTCCTGGATGACGGCCAAGTCGGCCCAATTTCGCAAGAGACAGTACAAATCAAGGTGGTTCAACCCACGCCGACGACGACCGTGGAGGCCGCCACGGGGACATCGCAGACATATACGGCCAAGGCCGAATATGAGAGCTATTGCTATTGCATATCCCTGACGGACTGATGCGACGGGGCATGAAACCGAAGAACGAAGATGAAACGAGAGCGGCTTTTGTTTTCCAACGTGGCCTCTTACAACCACGGCGTCGGCGTTAGACCAAGGAACGATTTTCTTCTCGACTCACGTGCATATGAATGATTGTCTTGCGAAGACTGCTGGTTTATTTCCTGGGTATGAGATCCGGTACTATTGACAGAGTACGGCGTGCATTCCGTGTATTGAACACCCCTGAAGCTGGGTGGCATTGTCCTTGAGCTATTTTCTGGTTGATTTTGGCTTGCCTATTTGCATTGGCACATTTTCACATTTTTGTCCGACAACAGTTCGGCGGCGTTTTTTGGGTGGGAAACGGTGCCAGGCACTATACACTACGGGCATGACAAGTCATTCGTTTAATTCTATCGAGGCCCGCAACTTCTGGACCTTTCCTTGCTGGTTTTTGTTTTCTATTACCTTGTTATCGGCGGCCATCAATGGGATGGCGTTTGGTATTGTGGCATTTCGACATGTTCTGGCAATATTGTCCGAATTCATTTGCTCTCATGGGCTGAATCAGCCAAGATAATAAATTCTGGGTTCAAGAAATGCTTTTTGGTCTCGCGGGCGAGCGTAACGAGTGCGTCTATTCAGTGGAACAGGTAAATCCTAAGAAATGGGGCGATGTTTGGTCGATCCATGAGTTGCGAGGTGAATGACCGGTCGGCAACGTCATGGCGATCGCGACATCGACCTCTGCCTACTATATAGGTGAACAGCCACTGAATGATGTTACTCCATACTATCTTTCTTTCAAACTACGATCAACCATCTATGATCTATCTATCTGTCTGCTAGATTGTTATATTTTCCATTACAGATATACCATCAATTACCAAGTTTGCTACCATAACCTACATCATGAGCGTCTTCCTCCGTAACCGCCTTTCCCTACGAGCCACACCCTCCTCCATCTCCGCCCGCCAACTGGCACCTCTTCGCAGCGCCTACTACCCCCTGGGACAACGCCTCTACGCTCACAGCTCATACGGGGGCGATGGCGAAACCGAAGCCCAGCAGCCCAATAACCCGCGGAACCAACCCACGCGAGACATTGAACACCCAGGTATGCAGCAGTGATGTTATACACCGGTCGCATAGAAGCTGATCATTCAATTCAATTTATTTAGGACCGCCTGCACCGGACACGGGATCCGCGAAGAGCAGCAGCAGCAGCAAGAAGCCATCGAACAAGGCCCACCCGACCTTAGCTGATGGGGATCAGTCGCCGTATGTCGATAAGGATGGGAAGACCTCAGCGGATGCGCCCGAGGATGTGAGACGGCATAATGAGGAGATTGAGAAGAGGGCGGATCGGCCGTCGGAACGGGTTGGTTGAGTCAGTCTTTAATTGTTAGTGCGTTTGTGTTTGTGTATGTTTTGTATTTATTATCTGTGATGTGGAATAGATTGTGGATGGAATAAATAGGACTACAATATGCAATCTATGTTGTGAGAGAAAGAGAGAGGAAGTCCGTGCCCTGTCTGCTCCGGATAGTACAGTAGTAGTAAGTCTAGTCTAGACTGGCCACGTTACGACGAACGCGGATCTCCCGCGGCAATAATAATACCTAACCTAACTCACCTCTTTTCTCCTGACGACAACAGTTTCAATCTGTCCGTCACCACCCACACACACTCGCTACTCTATCCAACTGAATCCATTCCCTTTCTTTTACCGTCAAACACAATGGGCGCCGAAAACAAATACTCGGTCATCCTGCCGACCTACAACGAGCGCAGGAACCTCCCTATCATCGTCTGGCTCCTGGAGCGGACCTTTCGCGAGAAGTACTACACCTCCCACCTTCCCTCCCCCCCATCTCTCCATCAATTACTAACGAAGAATAATAATAGCAACCTAGACTGGGAAATCATCATCGTCGATGACGGCAGCCCCGACGGCACCTTGGACATCGCCAAACAACTCCAAAAGCACTACGGCGCGAACCACATCCTGCTGCACCCCCGAGCAGGCAAACTCGGTCTAGGAACGGCCTACATCCACGGCCTCCAATTCACGACCGGCAACTACGTCATCATCATGGACGCCGACTTCAGCCACCACCCGAAATTCATCCCGGAGATGATCCGCATCCAGAAGCTGGGGGACGCCGACATTGTGACGGGCACACGGTACGCGAGCCGCGATGGCATCAAGGGTGGTGTGTACGGATGGGATTTGTTCCGCAAGTTTACTTCCCGCACGGCGAATCTTATTGCGGATGTGATGTTGATGCCTGGGGTGAGTGATTTGACGGGCAGTTTTCGGTTGTATAAGAAGAGTGTGTTGGAGAAGGTTATTCATAGTACGCAGAGTAAGGGGTATAGTTTTCAGATGGAGATGATGGTCCGCGCAAAGGCCATGGGGTTCAGGGTTGCGGAGTGTCCGATTACGTTTGTGGATCGGTTGTATGGCGAGAGTAAGTTGGGGGGAAGTGAGATTGTGGAGTATTTGAAGGGGGTGGTGACGCTTTGGTTGAAGGTTTGAATGAACTATTATACTATGTATGTAGTTGGGTGGTGTGGGTGGTTTTCTTTTATACCCTCTTTTTTTCTTTTTTTAATTCTTTCTAGCTTGAGTGCGATGTATAGTATTTACTGGGTTCAATGTGTGTTTGTCTGCTGTCTAGGCATCTATATGACTTATAGGTAGTGTTGTATGGATTAGAGTCTGGCCAAATACCCCCTCACTCTCTCCACCAACTCCTCTTGTCCAACATCCTGCACATTATGACTCGCCCCCTCGATCACCGCACTCCCCTCCCCATCCCATTTCACCTCTCCAGCCCCCTCATCTGTCACCTTCTGCCACCTCTTCATCAACCCCTCCACATCCAATCCAGGCTTCCTATACTCATCCGCCCCCGAATACAGCGCCATAAGCCTTCCCCCCAACAGCCCCCTCTCCCCCACAACCCCAAACGTCTCACGGAGCTTCTCATCCCCCAGATCCGCACTAAACAAATCATCCTGGCTCGGATTCTCAGGACTCTCGGGACTCGCCAGACTCAAAAACCTCCACGCATTGACCGGCGTCTCCGCATCCAATCCCACCAAACTCGTCAGATTCAGCGGCAAAATCGCTCTCGGATCCTCAACCACAGCAGCCTTTGCCAATCCAACCAACTGCTCGTACGCACCTCGCGCCTCGGCCGTAGTGATAGTGATGTGCATACCCTCGCGGTCTGAAACGGGCGCTTGCATGATTGCGCCGTCGACGGGGGGTCTGGTGAGGTATTGGAGTCCGTTGACGGCGGGGTTGTGTGGGATTGGGTTCGGGGCTGAGAGGTAGTGAAGGACGTCTTGGGAGCCGGTCGAGTGGCCCATTATGACGATTTTTGATTCAGGGCCTTTGAGTTTCCGGATGTAGGTTATGCACTGGGCGAGGTCTTCGATGTCGCGGTCGAGACTGTTTACGCCCCAGCCTTGGTAGGAGGTTGTGAGGAGGACGTTGAAGACGCTCCATGTGTTCTTGTTGTTGGGGGTGGTTGTGGTGGTGGAGAGGGCGGAGGCGAGGGTTGGGACGTAGGGGACTGTGAGGAGGCCGTCGGTTAGACCGCCGATAAAGAGGAGGGCGTTGGTGCTGGGGGTGCTGTTTGGAGGGGAGAATTCGAAGGCGACGAGGCGGGGGGCCTGGAGTGGTGGTGGTTAGTTGGGTATAGATTTGGAGGGATGGAGGGGATGTACGTAGTGGTGGAGGATGCCAGGATGAGACATGTTGGTTGGTGTGCTTGTAGATGCGTTATAGTATGCGAGTGGAGAAGGGATTGGAGGGTAGTTTCTTGTTAAATAGATGGTAGGTAGAAGGTTGTCAAAGCATTGCTGCTAGCTGCGATGGATTGTGGTTCAAGAGATGCGCAACTACTGCCGGCCCACTGCTTGCATGAGCGGGGTCTTTTAGTGTGGACAGGCTGATACGGAGGTCGTTGGATAGTAGCCACATGAGAAACAGGATAGATGAGTAAATCCTAGCAATAAAAGCTATGCTCACTTATATACAGCACGCTATTAATTAATCCAATGCCAACTTTCACTCCTATAAGATTCATCTTATAGTCAGACTGGATGATGCCGGTATCACATTAGTGGGGCGTAATGCGTATTTACAGGTACCGCCAAGCCCACTTGCCCGGAACAGGAAAACAGCATAGCTCCATCCATCATTCTTCATTTCAGTTATCTTTCTTTTTCTTGCTTCTCTCCGCTAATTGATGCGTCAAACTCTCAATCAAAAGACACAACCTGTCTACAGCATGCCTGATAGCTAGCGCAGCGATTGCCCGCCAGCAGCTAACAAATCTACCCGCCTACCGCAGCTCATGCGCAATGCGACGAACATCTATTCTGACCCTCTAGGAAATCGCACTTAGTACTCCGCACTTTGCCCAATTCACTATGCCTCGTCCCCGCAGATCCAATCGCGCCTCTGGCGCCAGGACAAAATACGTTCATGACCCTTTCGAAGCGGCCGGTCTTAGCGACGAAGGAGAGGGTCCCTCCACCTCCGAAACTCCGCAGCGCAAAAAGGGCAAGGGAAAGGCGAAACAAGCTGTCGCGGATGAGGGTTCCTCGGACGAAGACTTTGCTATGAATGACTCCAACGGAGATGACGACGACGACGATGATGACGAATACAACGATAATGACGTGGAAATGGTCCTTGAGAATGAAGATGAAGATGCAGAGGAAGACGACGATGCGTCGGCCTCAGAAGTTGACGGGGGCAGTCGTCGTCAGCGGAAGAAGCCCGCTGCTGCCGCTACGCCAAAGCCCAGCAGCAGTGTTAAGAAACGTCGACCGGATGGGAGTCTTGCTGTTCCCGGGGAGGAGACGCATTCGCGCGGATCCTGGAACCCCCTTGAGCATGTTGGAAAGGCGGTTCATCTGCGCGTTACATTCGGCACGGATGAGAGGGATATACTTTCTATTATAAGTGCGCGGGATCGCTGGTATAAGGGGGTTGATTCTACGTTTCCGACGCGCGAGACTTTGAACGAGTCGCATGATTTGCCGGATTATGGATATGGGAATTCATTTGGCTTGGAGGCCGAGGACATGAAACGGGAAAGCTCCCGTGCATGGGACTGGTACTATAGTAAGGATGTGGGTGTGCAATTTAGGAGGAGGCAGCGTATTCAGAAGCTTAAGGAGAATGACGCTCGCTCGGTCTACTTTCCTCGTTCCCGAGGACCACATACCGTGCTCGCTGGCCCGGTTGATGACCAGAAGGCCTTTTCCCTCGCCCAGCATGATGTGCTTGATTTCGGCGAGGCATGGGATGATGATGCTTCTAAAGCTCAGAAACAGGGGAAGCAAGCAAAAACAAAACAGCCTGAGCGAAAGAAAAGGAAGCGAGAGGGTTGGCTTCTTAATTTAGGGAACAAAGTTCAGTGTTTGGCCTGGGTGCCAAATCAAACTGGCCTCACGCAGTATCTGTCCGTCGTGGCTCCAATCCTACCAGACCAAAAAGAGCAGTATCCAGATCCGTACAAGGACCAGGCAGCTCCAGCATTCAGACCCTCAGCGCCTTATCCGTCTGCACTGCAGCTTTGGGAGTTCAAGGCTGAAGAAGCCGCGTCACTAACCAAGACAACCGATATGACCTCCAAGCCGCGATTACGCCTCGCGCTGTGTACCGACTGGGGCGATCTGAGGCGAATGGCCTGGTGCCCAATGCCTCGAGACCCGCGGAACGAAGACGACAAAGACGCGCAGAAGAACGTCGGCCTACTGGCAGGCATATGGGGAGACGGCCGGGTGAGGGTCATCGACGTCAAACTGAGTCGTGAGCCGGACCAGACCGAATACTGTACGTCCACCTACCAAAGCAAAGCCCAAGGCGCAAACTAACTGTTCAGACAAACTGCAATCCCCCGTCTTCGAAGCAAAACCACATTCGACCGTATGCACCTCTGTAACATGGCTCTCTCCCAGCGACATCGCCGTAGGCTGTGCCAATGGATTCGTCGCCATCTGGAGCATCGTCTCATCGCCATCCTCCCCCTCCAATCCCATCCCCTACTTCTACCAGCAACTCCACTCGACGTGGATCCTCAACCTCGCCTCCGCCTACCCAACCCATCCCTATCTCATCAGCACCACCTCCATGGACGGCGAAAGCCGACTCACCTCCATCATCGACCCCCAAAAAGACAGCGTCAGCGCAAACCGCATGCGCGTAGGCACCGCTCACCTCACCTACTCCCCACTCCTGCACTCCTTCGTCTCGGGCGACGAAAACGACTTCCTGCGCCTCCTCGCCATCCGCCGCTTCTTCACCTCCACCGCCGTGGCTCGTCTCCCGAGCATGGTCTCCGCCCTCGGACCCTGCAGCTTCTGGCACCCAAGCCTCCTCGTCGGCTGCACCGGCGGCACCGTGCAAGCCACGAATCCCCTCCGACGGATGATGCACGCCAAGGAGAAACAATGGCAACAGACCTGGTTCCAGCATGAGTGGGCGCGTGGCTCAGGCTCAGGCACAGGCACTAGTCGGTTTCACGACGGCTACCGCGCCGAACACACCAGCTTGCTGCGTAATCTCGTCGGTGACCCGAGACTGATTAATGGCACGGCGGTGATTACGATCTTTGATGAAGAAACACACGTCACTGCGCTCTCGTGGAACCCGAATCGCGTGTGCGCCGGGTGGGCTGCTGCGGGGATGGGATGTGGCCTGGTTCGGGTTGAGGATTTGGCATTGTCTTGAGATTTAGGAATTGGAATGGCCTGATTGTAGAGACGAAGAACATATTGCTCGTAATCGAAGGACCAAGAGGAAAACTGTTGTATTACGTAGACTCTCATGTCTGAGAAGTAGCATACATGCATGCAGGGTCCGTCGATCAGCAGCATCTTGAAGCCTGCCTGAGGCTCGTAGGGCAGCATGCGCCCCAGTAAATACTGATACTACTCTTTTGAGGCATGAGTAATATGACGTCCAAATGCAAGACCAGGCACATATACCTAAGGTGTATGTATGTTATGCCGTGGACAATGCCAATACTAATGTTTAAGTAGCATAAGATGATGAACCCCTACCACACGAAATCACCGACCTCATTGAAGAGACCATCAGGACTACTACTACTACTGATCGGTCTAACAAATACACTCATGTGTAGGCATATCACAGCGACCGGTATATTGCACACAATAATTTCAACTAGCTAGCTACTATACGTTCTTCATATTCCTAGCTTGGACCATAACTAAGTACCTAGTTCGACAGGTGAGTAAGTACCATTCCAACATAATTAAGTCTAGCTACAGCCAATCTAATGAGCAATTGCAGGTAATGACGTCTCGTCTCATCTAAGGTCATGTCATGTCATGTCATGTCATGACTCTCTAAATCTTATCTTCTCCTTGAATAAGTGTGCGTACGTATCACTATTCAAATTCTCTCCTGGAGATTGCTTACTTTCCGGAACCTTCTAAGTGGATTGCGTCATCTCGGTGATGTTTGATATTACTATAGTTCAATAATTCCTGGAGGGGGGGATTCATGTACAGGGATGGATGGCGCAATTTCTTACTGTTCTTCTCTATGTACTACTCTGCGGTGCGAGTCAGATGAAGGGATGTTTGGGAAGTATAGGTATAGCGTAAGCTTGAGTGATGGGATGTTAGTTAGGTGTGGATGGATATGCTTTCTTAGTGTAGACTTTCCTAGTTGTGTTGGGGTTATCCCTGTAGGTGTAAGTGAGAGAAAGTTAGTGCTTTCTAGTTTGGATTAGTTCGTGATGGTGTAGTATTATTATCGTTTACCTTTGGGTTAGTTAGGGTTATGTGGGCTTTGTTTTATCTATGAATTAGTCATGGGAAGATATCCATTCTACTGTATGTTACTTTGGAACTTACTAGAATGGCTGCTTTTTCTCATCTACTATCTAGAAGAAGCAATCATACGATCTACAAACATATATCTATACTACCTACAACGGAGTAAATCCCTCAAGGCATATCGGAGTATATCTACTTGCAACGCCGCGGCCGGAGATATTATTACGCGGCCCACCGTGCATGAGATAACCGCTGGCCACGAACCAACATCATGTCCCCATGGCTGTGGCTTTCTTAGCCGCTAACTCGGTCACACCGCAGCCAGATGCGTTGAGCTGTTCCTTGGGATCGGCACGGGGGACCGTGGGCGCTTGCATGGTCGATCACCGAACCTCGAGAGGGTGCGTGCTAAATAAAGGGATTTTATTGGGTTGAGGAGTGAGCCACTAAGATAGGATATACTTAGTAACGCCTGAATGGCTGGAACTCATGGCGCGAGTGAGTTTGGATGGATAACTCTAGATATGGATAGAATCCATGAACAAAATCTGGAATCCCACTGCAAAATACTACCATAGCAGTAGCAGCAATTACCTATACAGGTAAATAGACAACGGCTCGACGCGTAACACACCAGATATCATTGTGTCCGTCGTAGAGTGCATGCTTCTCCCCTATGCATCCGGAGGTGCCGTAGGAGATGCAGGCAACTTCGAAACCTGAGTTGGCATCTAGATCTGAGAGAACACGGGGAAGGAGATCCCGAGGACCCTGCCTGAGCTGGGGCTGTGATGCGCTGTGATGTGATGTGATATGATATGCCCATGGCAAAATGCTGATCCTGCTTTATTAGCTATTCCTGCTGCGGTGCCATGCCTAAAAGGGAGTAAAGATGAGGAAAAGGGATAACGAGTCTTTAGCGTTTGGTGGATTGTCAGTCGTTGGTGGTGTGATGGAATTCATCCCCTACTGACTTGACTCAGTGCCATTGTCGATACTGTTATTCTGTACCACCACATTCTGTGTTTCTGCTGTCGAGATAAGGTGTAAACGGGGGATAAGTGGCGCTCACACCGCCGCCGTGTTAATGCTCCGGTAAGCTCTGCTGGAGGTTAGAAATTCGGAGCATGACGTAGACGTGATGGAGATCTACGGTCCAGACTTTAGACATTGTGTGATCCAAGCAGGATGTAGTAAGTACGTAGTAACAAGGGCAATGAGACAGTCTGAGATGAACCTGGACTGGGCTGTGAGGGGATCAGCGAGGAAGTAGATTAGAGAAAGTGGATCCCTCCCCAGCCACTTTGGATTTGACAGCAGAGGGCCCGGTCAGGTCACGGGATTTCCAGCTTTAATTAGCACGTTTAGTGCCATTTTCTCATTTTTGGCGCGACATTTTAGTAGATTTAGTTAGAAAAATAAAAGTAGTTATTTCCTTTCATTATCTTCATCCATTGGCCATCTAAATCATGCTGCCTGTCCAAGATATAATTGGCACAAAAGAAAATAATGAACGCACAGGGTCTTTGCCGCTGGGAAAACGGCGATCCGTTGTTCTAGTGCCCTTCTGCCCACCAGAAACCAACGTGGCTGGCAGAAACAGACTCCATCCATCCCATCCCAGCCTCCTTTGACAGTATCATGATGCGCCAGCCTGCACCTTTTTTTCTCCCCGACGATGGGGCTTCGTGCCGTGTATGATGGCATATACATCTGCCGCACCCGTGTAGATCTTGCTTGCTTGTCACTGATTTGATTTTAATTTATTTTTTCTAGGCGTCAATTTTTGTTGTGTTCATAGCCTGGTTGGTCGGTGTGTGTGTGCTGTGTTGCTGGTGAATCCAAATCATAAATTGAGCCCTTGTCTCGTCGGTTGTTGCTGTTGCTCCAGTTTCAAATCACTCGGTCTAATCAAAAGACTCTTATACTAAGCATTCTAATATTCTCATAATCCTTGTTTTGTTTGTTAGACTATCTAGTTTGCTTCTCTGCCTCTGTGTTATATCTGTCCTGGTCTTCCCTTACATTCAGCATCTACAGACCTTTCCATATTGCACCGGCAGCACCATGCATACCGCTGCTCTCTTCCTTGCCCTCTCCCTCTCCGCCCATGCGGTGCCTGTCCTCAACGCTCGTGGAAATGACACCCTCGAACGTAGAGAAGAAGGTCCCTACAAAGTCGTGAATGTTGCGGGTCCTACTACTCCCGTTGTCGAGACCATCACTGCGACCAACCCTCCGGCACCGCCTACCACTATTACTGTCACTGAGTACCCTTCGTCCACACCAGCTTCCGTGCCTGGCGCTTCTCCCTCACCCTGGAATGCCGGGCCTAACGTGGGTGGTGCTCCGCTGGATCGCCGCGACACCAACAGCAGCGCAAGCGCACTGAGCCGACGTGCGATGTTTGAGGATGCTCCTACCAACAGCACCTTGAGCCGACGTGTGACATATGAGGTGGATGCCTCTACCAACAAGACTGCCAGCCGACGTGGAATCCTCGAGGATGCTAGTAACAGCACCCTCAGCCGGCGTATTCTCATGAAGGATGTTGATGCTACCAACAACACTGCGAGCCGACGTGCGATGTTCGAGGAGGATGCCCCTACCAACAGCACCCTGAGCCGACGCACTATGTTTGAGGAGAGTGCCCCTACCAATAACACTGCGAGCCGACGTGCGATGTTCGAGGAAGTTGCCCCTACCAACAGCACCGAAAAGCATGTAATTGCCGCTCGCAGCAACACCACTTCCGAAGTTTTGGCTCGTAGCCTGAATGAGACAGCCGTGCAGACTCGGCAGCTCAAGGATGCCCTTGTTTCCGAGCACCACAATGCCAGCGATGTTAGTGGCAAGTTCGGGATTATGGCCCGGGATACTCAGAAGCCCGAGAATGCCACTGATATTGGCAGCAAGGTTGCAGTTCACGCCCGGAACGATACAGTTTTGCAGGCCCGGGCATTCAATGACACCCCCTCTGACACCGCCGTCATGTCTTCCAGGCCCCACGCCAGGGGCCTGAACCACACAGACTCTCAGGCGTAGAGTCATCTTCAGGGGTCATTGTGACGCTTACCCAGGTGCCTGCCATATCGTTCTGGAGGTTGATAATTGGATGCGAACGACTGGTATGAAACACGTTTCATGAATTTGATGGATAATGAGTATGTGGTTCTTTCACGATTTCGGTTTTTGCATTGTCACGACGAGTCATGACTGCTCATGGTGGGGGGTGGGGGATATGGTCATGATAGCATGCATCTATAGGGGCGTTTTGATTTTTCTTTTTTATCCCTTCCTTTCATTTGCTTTTTTTTTTCTTTTTTTTCTTCTTATAGTTCTCTGGCGGTTTCATGCTCTCTTGTGGGAAAGGCTTTTCTTGATTTAGATAAGGGGTAGCGATTGCTTTCGTTGCGATTTCGGGTTCATACTAGGTCTAGATTGTCGTTGGGTTATTTCAGGTATAGGATAGATTGCTATGAAAAATTGGAATGGATTGATTATATACGAAGAAGCACTTGATTTAACTACTAGAGGACAGCGAATGGACTGACTATACCGGCCGCAGTTAATACTTGTTTGTGATGGCAAGCAGTGTTCAGAGACACATGACCGGATTACAGCATATCGTTTGTATTAGGTTATTTTACTTATTTTTTTTGGGCTTAATTCTTTCATATGTTTTATTTTTCTTCATCGCTTCCCCAGTTTATTTGATATTCTAGTCTAGATGTACTAAATGGAGCAGATTTAACTGAATAGATTTTACACGGCAGTGAGGTCGAAATCTAGATTATAACTGCATTTCATGGGCCCTTTTTGTATATATTTAGCGCCATCCTTGGATGGAAATGCGGAGGAGAGATAAAAGCGCACACTTTTGGCGTAGGTCAGTAGCTTCAGACGGTGACTACATCTCATGGTCAAGCATTACATCTATTCAACCGCGCCAGCCTTAACGAGCAATTCCGCTATTCTATGGAACCCATAGAATCGGGCAAACATCAAAGCTGTGCCTGTTATAAGACCTATCTCACACTGCTGATTCAGGTCTATCCTTCCTGAATCTAGTAACAGCCTGACCATGGCCTCGTCATCCTGCATGACCGCCTCAAACAGTGGTGTTATGCCTTCAGATGGGTTCGTCTCTACCGCCTCCATATCAAGCAGTAGCTTCACCATTTTATATCTCCTTTCGCGCACTGCCACTGCGAGCGCGTTGTTTCCCCACCAGAGTCCATTCACCTCGATACCTTCGGTATGAACGAGAAATTCGACCATTTCGTCGCTTGAGAACTTCAATGCGCAGATCAAGGGTGTGCCTTCGTAGCATCCGTCGCGGACATCAGCTTTACCACTATTAAGCAAGCATCGCACGCTTGCTACATGTTTTGAGAGTATGGCGCGGAACAACGGAGTATTAGTAAGTTTGTCCCTCATATCCCAGTCTAGTTTCCCACAGTCAAGCAGGAGATTTAGGACCTCGAAATTACAACAGGTTGCAGCGACGTGGGAAATCCTTTGTTCCAACTTATTCCAAGCGTCTTCGATCTCCTCGTCCTGAAGGATTCTCTTAACAACCGAAGTCAGGCCGAAGTTGGCGGCCATCCACAATGTATTGCGGGTTTCTTCCCCCGGGGCCCCGCGCTCAGCGCCGCACCAAGAGGCAAAGACATCGGATTTTGGATCACAGATTCTGGTGAGGATTGGCTCCAGGTCCTGGTCATCTTCCAGTGCTGCAGCCCGGATATGGGAAGACCACCCGTCAGCAGAATATTTGGAGAAGTCTAGATTTATATTAATCGAAGTTAGATCTTCTGCTGAGTTGGTCTGATGAGCCCGTGGCATGAACTTGTCGATATATGTGATGCAGCTGATGGCAAGGACGCCATGTGCCTCATTTGAATCAATCGGGCCACGTTCGCTGCAGCGACCAAAGCCATTTTTCTGCGCCAGGAATTCTCGCGCTGTTTGGTGTAGGAAGAACACCTTCTTGTTATTCACTGATAAAAGTAAACCACACCAGCTTCGCAACGAGGCCTGAAAGTCTTCGTCCGATTCTAGATCCAGCTCATCTGAGTCAAGGTCTAGATTGACAGCAATGTTCATCTCCGTCAACGTCAAGGGGCGGGATGCAGCCAGCATAATGCAAAAGGCCTTTCGCGCCATGTCCATGTCCTCAGATTTACTAAGGATCTTGCAATATGAATCGTTGACGTCCTTGGGGAGCTTATCGATGAAAACCCTGTCAATCCCTTTTTTGACTTTTTGAAAGCTATGTGTTTCGAAGTATTCAAAAACAAGATGGACCCAAAGGTATGTCCGGTGCTCCATTCGAAGTAGTCGCTCTTCCAGGTAGCTCTGGATGGGGGCAGAGAGACGCTTCTTTCGAGCCAGGCGCTCAACACGATGTTTGATGACGATGTTCACTTCTTGGCTAATCTTGTCGGATTCATTTTCGCCCGGTATGTGAATATGGGGAGAATGATCAAAGAGCTCTTGGAATTCCAATATGATATTTTCGTACGGTCGGCTGGTCACGAAGAACCTAGCCCTGGTTTCACCATCGTTTTGAACGAACTTAATGTTGTCTGTCAGGTCAACTAATTCGGATTCCTTGCATTCATCTAGCGCATCCAACACAAAGATGGTTTGTCCCATAGCAGGGTCCTTGATGACCCGGGAAAAGATATCCCAGAGCTTAGTAACCACGTTGACGGTTTCCTGCCCGTTGTCATTGATTACGTTCATTGCAAGCTTGATCAATTCAGGCTTGTTCGTGAAGATCTGATGCAGCAATGCGCAGATAGCTTGCTTCTGTGTATTCTGGTCTCCATCTTTGAAAAAAAAGTAGCATATCGTGGCGGATGGATTGCACTGGGACAACACATTGTCGATGAGATGCTTGGCAAGAACAGACTTGCCACAACCAGGATCTGCTGAAACGATCAAAAGCCCTCTATCATTGTCCAGCCACTGGTTAAAATGGGGCTGTTCTAGAAACCATTCGCAGGTGCCCTCGAGCCGATCGTCAACTCGGCTCTTGTACAATTCATAGGATGAGTCCTCCTCGTTTCTGGCCAGGCGGAAAAGCTGCCTACATTCTTGTTCCTTGACCGACAATGCTTCCTCATGCATCTGGCGTTGGAGGTTGAGAGCCTCGATATCCACTTCAAGGTGCCGTTGTGCCAATGGAAGAAGCTTTTGCATTGACTCAAAGTTGTGGCGAGTACTTTGTTCCACTTCGTTTAGATGCCGTCGGGATACCTCGGTGCTAATGGTGGCAGCATCTTGCTGGACCAAATTTTCGAGATCTTTGATCGAGGAAACCATGCCGTTCCAATCTTCCGGTTGGAAGATATCACCAGCGAAGTTTCGCTGCCAGCTGCGATGAAAGCGCAGAACACTCTTGACCTCAAAGTGCAGGATTTCCTGGTACAACTTGACAATGTTGGCATTGAATTGTTCTTTCAGCCCCGTATGATCCGAGCTCGGGCTGGAAGTTGACCACAAAATCCGCTCCAGTTCGACATGATAGCGAATGCGACCGGTGACATACGTGAATCCACTCTTGTTGGCCTGTGCCGCACTCTGGGGGTTCGTCAGCAATGGCAGGACAATGCAGACCCCTGCCCATGCCAACGACGCTTCTGGCGATGCCTTGACCGCTTCTCCAATGAAGTCTTTCACGGACAAAATCCAGCTTGCAGCTTGGGCCAAGCCTTCCTGAACACCCGTCCTTTGGATTTCTGCCTGATGAAGCCCGTGATTGATGATGATGTCCAAGTCTTGTTGGCGGTTGGTTCCATTCTTGCAAGAATTATCATCTTTCCTTGTTAGTATTCAATACCCAGGAAAAGTAAAATGAAACTCACTAATCTCCTGTCTTTGTTTTGCCAATAATTCTTCATATTTTTCAACCAAGCCTGGATCGAGATTCTTATACGCCTGGTCCCAGAGCGATTCATCACGGGCCGGTGTTTCCTTGCTGAGAGAAGCATTGGTTGACTTCACAGGCCGATCTTGTTGAGCTGGCCGAGGACCAACTGCCCCGTTTGCAACCGCCGTGTTTGCTGGTTGAACATGTTTTTCGTGCGTTGGCTTCTTTCCAAGCAACCTTTTCAATCCCAAACAACCCATCTTGCCCGTGCGTGTGCCGTGGGTGTTGACGGGGGGAAGAATCTGTCATGTCAAGTCCGATTCTCTCGTCTGCGGCTGAACACGCAGCAGCTGAAAGATACGGCCTAAAGACATGGCCTAAAGGCACGGTCTAAGCACCTAGTGAAAGGCGTGATAGGCGTGATTGCTTTTGCTGCTCCACCCCGCGGAAGTCCATCCCCGAATCCGCTACTAAGGGCAGGGATGTACAACCAGTGGTTTCCAATACATTTTTGGACGATCAATCTTCCTTTCCATTAACCAAAATTCTCCACTTGCGGAGAAGATGCCCAACTACTTGACCGACGGAGTAGACTCCATCCGTACTGAGGGAATCCAATTTGTCGTTGACGCCAGATAGACCCGACGTAATTCATGTGTTGGTAAAGACTGGGTATATGGACTGTTCTAAATCGAGGCTCGATCAAATGGATAATCGAGCTTCGCATACGGAATTTATGCCTAGAGATGGAAGTCAACAGGCGCTATGGTTTCCCTATGCAAGGACGAACTGATGGCAATCCTCTGCGCCAGTGGAAACTGCAATGCTTGTTCAATACCACAATGTCTCATAGCACACTACATCCAGTTGACTAGCGAGCTTGAACCTCCGCCATCGAGATTACCCCGCATGAGGATGATCTTTATATGCGCATTAAGATGACCTTTATGTGCGCCCCCTATGCGTGAGTATTGTCACCCCATCTGCCTTGCGTTTTTGAAAACCCCCTCTGCTGGCACTGTCGGCAGCCTGGTCATGCCATTTGATCTCTCCCGGCTTCAGGGAGTGCGAGAGATAGAGACTAGCGGAAACTAGACTCGGAAGACATGATTTGACCTTACCATGAAGACATCGACTTCACTTTCCCAACGATATTCGGAGTGTCTTAGGACCTGTGTCTTTGGCCAGCCTGCTGCTAGCGAACAATAGTTTATACCCTGCCGTGATCGGGGAACGCGAGACGAGGTGTGACGGGTGTGGAGATGGTGGGATCCAAAGGCAGTCCAATGAACTGGACTCTTGTTCAGTACAATATGATCACGTTGTTTGTCATTATTACTCGACCTTAGGGAGTTGAGTGCAGTTTAGGGACGTTGTCCCCTGCAGAGAAAGACAACTGAGATGAGGGAACAAGTTGTCAAATGCCTATCCAACAGCCTGTTCAGTCACCAGTACGGGGTCAAGGCATTCTTCACATATAAGCCTGGCATGATAAACTGGCACTCGAGAGTATTAGCACGGGTCTCTTTAGAGGGTCGCGCTTGAGGCTCTCGTGGTAAAAGTGCATATCACGATATCTATATTCTCAATCCTTGAGAAGAAAGAAAGTATTTATACCTGGGGAGAGTGTGACGTACAGCAATGGGGCGGGGATTACATAACCCACGCCCAGCCCCAGGTCGTAAACTAACTGGCATTCTGATCGCATGTCCGCATTCGCATTCACCTTCCCATCCTCCCACCTTCTCCTGCTCCTGCTGTCCCTTTTGTCCTACTCCTGTCTATGGATCAGGAGCTGTTTGAATCCCCGCCTGATCTTCTAGCGCATCGTGCCTTTCTGTTGCTCCCATCCACGAATTCCCCTCTCCGCCCCTCCCCCTTTCCGACCAGGTGTTTACCGCCCGATTCAAGCCACTGAGTCCGACACTCCCCTCACATCATCATCTCATATCCGCCATGGCCACCCCGGTAGCGGCCCCCGAAGACCAGAGCCGTCTCCTCGAGGAGGCATTGGGAGTCGTGCGGCAACAGTCCCAGATGATGCGAAAATGTTTGGAAACTCCGGGGAAATTGATGGATGCGTTGAAATGCGGGTAAGCTTGAGCTTCGGATACTCCAGGCAGCAATGACATTGGGATCGAGATAACTGATGTCTTCTGCCAATTGCTTCAGGTCCACCTTGGTATCCGAGCTACGAACCCCTAGCCTTGGTCCGAAACAATACTACGAACTTTACATGGCCGTCTTCGATGCCCTGCGACACCTCTCCGTCTACCTGAAAGAGAACCACCCGGTTAACCATCTAGCGGATTTGTACGAACTCGTTCAATATGCCGGAAATATCATCCCGCGACTCTATCTTATGATCACCGTAGGCACGGTATACATGTCTGTGGAGGATGCGCCGGTCAAAGAGATTATGAAGGACATGATGGAGATGAGTCGAGGCGTGCAGCATCCCATCCGCGGGCTGTTCCTGCGGTACTATCTGTCCGGACAGGCTAGAGACCACTTGCCCACAGGCTCTGGAGACGGTCCGGAGGGCAACTTGCAGGACTCGATCAGCTTCGTTTTGACAAACTTTGTCGAGATGAACAAGCTGTGGGTGCGACTCCAGCACCAGGGCCCTTCGCGCGAGCGCGAGAAGCGGATGCAGGAGCGCCGGGAATTGGAGCTGCTTGTTGGTAGCAATGTTGTCCGACTCAGCCAGTTGGTGGATCTGGAAGGATACAAATCTGGTATACTACAGGCACTGCTGGAGCAAGTGGTCCAGTGTCGTGATGTTTTGGCGCAGGAGTATCTCCTTGAAGGTAAGATGACGCAATTGTCTGTCGAAGGTCTGGCATGCTAATTGAGGATGCAGTAATTACCAAGGTGTTCCCCGACGAGTTTCACTTGCATACCCTTGATCTCCTGCTCTCCGCAATCTCTCGACTCAACCCCCACGTGGACCTGAAGAAGATTGTCATTGGATTGATGGACCGCTTGTCAGCTTATGCAGCTCGTGAGACCGAGTCTTCCGCCGAGCCCGATGCAAGAATCAAGAAGGAAGAGGAGGCTGTCACAAAGCTCCTTGGGAATCTCAAGGTATCTGAGGAGACCAAGAAGGAAGCGCCGGAGGAAGCAACCCAGGAGAACGGCGTGGAGCAAGCCGCAACTGATAATGCTGAACAAGCTGAAGCTACGACAGAAGGCGAGCCCACGGCCAATGGCGACGACAAGGCTGGAATCCCTGCAGATGTCAAGCTATACGACATCTTCTATGAACAAGTGGTCAACCTGATCAAGAGCCGCGGCCTCCCTATCCAAGACACAATGGCGCTCCTGGTTTCGCTTGTCAACCTGGCTCTTAACACCTACCCGGATCGCCTCGAATTTGTTGACCAGATCCTCGACTTTGCGACTAAAGAGACTGCGACGTATGCCGACCATGCCGACCTGCATTCTGCCCCGACACAGCAGAACCTTTTGCACCTCCTTACCGCACCCCTCCGTTCCTACGCCTCCATATTCACGGCTCTTGCCCTGCCCCACTACATCCCACTTCTGACTTCGCAATCCTACACGACCCGGCGAGCTGTCGCAGGCGAAATCGCTCGCAGTCTTCTCAAGAACCGAACTTTCATCACGACTACGGAAAACCTCGACCGCGTGCTGCAAGCCCTGAGGGTTTTGATCAAGGAAGGCACTCAGCAGTCTATGGGCTATCCTGGCATTCAGTCTCAGCGGCGAGGTGAGACTGATGAGACCATCGAGGAACAAGGGTGGCTTGCACGTCTGGTTCATCTGATCCAGGCCAAAGACAATGATACCCAGTTGAAGGTAATGCCTCTTCCCAACACAATATGACCACCACTAACCCCCTTCTAAGTTACTCCAAGCAACCCGCAAGGCCTACCTCGACGGTAACGAGCGTATCCGATACACAACACCGGCCCTGGTCACGAGTTCGATCCGTCTGGCACGCAAACTCAAGGCCCGCGAGCACTACGACGACAACTGGCAGTCGCAGTCTTCAGCCCTTTACCGGTTCATGCACCAGTGTGTCAACAACCTCTACCAGCGTGTGAACCCTGGTTGTGCTGATTTGTCCCTGCGTCTGTTTGTGATGTGCGGAGAAGTGGCGGACCAGACGGGCTTCGAAGAGTTCAGTTACGAATTCTTTGCACAAGCCTTCACCATCTACGAGGACTCCATCAGTGACTCCCGTGCTCAATTCCAAGCCGTCTGCGTTATTGCGGGAGCTCTTCACGGCACCCGCGGGTTCTCCAAGGAGAACTATGATACCCTCATTACAAAGGCCGCTCTGCATGGAAGCAAGCTGCTGAAGAAGCCCGACCAATGTCGCGCTGTATACCTAGCCAGTCACCTGTGGTGGGTTGTCGAGAACCCCCAACGAGGCGAAGAAGACCCCAAGAACGTAAGTGTACCTTCATCTAGTGACATCCCACAGTCAACTTCTAACATCAATCAGCTCTACCGCGACGGCAAGCGCGTCCTCGAGTGCCTGCAACGGGCCCTCCGCGTCGCAGACGCCTGCATGGACACTGCCGTGTCCGTGGAACTCTTCGTCGAGATCCTCAACCGCTACGTCTACTACTTTGACCAACAGAACGAAACCGTCACGATCAAATACCTCAACGGCCTCATCGAACTCATCCACTCCAACCTGCAGACGGATGAAAACGAGCCCAACCCCAGCCTGGAGGGCCCGAAGCGGCACTTCCAACGCACACTGGATTACATCCGATCCCGAGATTTCGAAGGCGTAGTCACCGATCCCAGACAGTGAAATTGCATGACCCTCCTCCCGTATGAATGAGCGATGTTACCTACCACTACCACTACAGCCCATGTATCCCCAGACATCCGTTTTGCCCTGTTTTTTTCTATTCTTCTTCTTCTTTCTCTTCCAGCCTCGCGCGTGTAAGATTCCCTGTCCGTTCTCTCTCCTCCCCCACTTCTATTATCTTCTGCTTCATGAACCGATTATCACCCTACCCTACCCTACCCTATCTTATGTCCGCCCTCAATTCGAGCCGAATATATCAATCAGTGTATTATCATCATCTTCACATCATTATCATACCCTTTCTTTTTTTCACCTTTCTTATAGTTACTAGGGAGGAAAATTTGATCTCCGATAGAAAGCTCTTGATTTCATTCTACTTATATCATATTCTGCTATTCTAGTTTACGTCTACTATTATCAATACTAGTACCCTGCGCGCTTCTATCCTAGGATAGCTTCTACTTTAGTACTAACTGGGCAGAGACTGAAGACACCTAGAAGATGGTGGTTACTACGTAGTGAGTAGGTATGTAGTTAGTTGAATACTGGTATAATGCCTACGATACCTTACTATCTAACTAATTAATACTTCCTACCTTATCTAGTCGCCTCTACAGAAACTCTACAATAACCCCACCGTCCAAGATTGAACGATATGAATTAGAAAAAGAAGGAAGAAGAGAAGGTAGAAGAAGTTTAAGTACGGAACGACCAGGATCAGTCAATCGATTGACCACCTGATAAAGATCCGATTCGCATCATGCAATTGTTTTAACACGGAGTTTCAAACGAACATGAGGTATTTGGGAGCCTTTTAGAATAATGCTCCTTGGGAATCGCTACACAAGGAAGAAAAAAGGGAAAAACAAACAAGAAAATGGTGGGGGTTTCACTTCAGAACACCCACCTGGATTTCCGGTGGGGAAGCGGTGCAAGAAAAAACAAGCAAAGCAAAAAGAAGAGAACAACGTAACGTACATGACATGATTGATGTCTGTTCAATGTGCGTAGGAAGAGAAGATGGAAAGGGGGAACTCGGAACACGAGGAAGCTCATCAGTGATGTGGTAGGGTGGAGGAAGATAGGAATGAGGATGGAAGAAGAGAGTTTGATGACATGATGGACGCTTTCATTCGGTGGAGTAGGAGGGAATTGATGGAGAAAGAGCAGATGACGGAAAAGGGAAGAAAGTGAGAATGTCATCAATGATTCTCGTGCCATTGCAACTGGAAGCCTAGAACCCCGTGGGAGAAGAAAACTGTCGGAGCACGGATGGTGTCGATGAACCGATCCCGCCGAACGCTGGAAGACTGCTACTGGGAACCGGACTGCCGATTTCCCCGGGGACAATGCTGCCTCTGTGACCTGAGGACGCACTGTTGGTGTCCGGTTCAAACTTGACACACTCGCCCGTTTCGTCGCTCCTGATCGAGAACGATCCGCCTCCGTTCTGCGTGTTGCCTTCTGTGTCGCAGATGTCCAGCATTTCCTTCAACGAGATCGGAGGCTCATTGGCCGGCCGTAGCTGATTTACCTGACGAAGGACAACGTTCACATCATGGTACCCACTGGCTCCCTTGGAAGGGCTCATCATGTTGAGTTGCTTGCAGGCTTGGATGACCAGCAGTCGTATCGTCACGGGCCGAGAGGCATGCGCACGGTGGTGACCGCCGGGAGCAAATGCGTTGTTGGACCAGCCACTTCCTATAAAGGTCGTCAGTTGATGGCACAGAAAGGACTGACGTCGAGGTGAAACTGACCAGGTCCTGTTCCCCATGTTGGAGCGCTGGGGAAAGGAGACGTGCCGAAGGGAATCTGTGTACTCCACGTGTTTCCTACACTCGGGCCAATCGGGAAACCATTATGCTTGGCTGCTATGAAGTTGTCAGCTTATGCGACAGCCATGACTACTTGTCAACGGCACTTACCTAGGGGATCTGCGAAGAGGGACGTTCCTGCAAAGCTGGCTCGGGTCGGTCCAGGGAAGGTGCCAGGAGCAGTCGCGCCAGGAAGCGACTGGGAGAGATTCGAAGTAAAGGGAACATCACTGTCATCGAGAAGAGCACTGCTGCCCAGATGCGCACTTAGATCATCCACGTCGCGCTGCGCTGACCGGTTGTTCTGGTCTTGTTGGGTGCTTGACGGGCGCTTGATAGGACTAGGCCGGGAGATCGGGAAGGCATGCGCATCCAAAGGTGACCGCTCAAACGAGCTGGACGGCTGTCTGGAATGAGCATGAGACAGCCCGCTCGGCTGCGCAGCGAACGCATTGGTTATGGGCTGCTGATGGAATGCTAGACCATGTCCTGGATCGAGCGGAAAGCCACGTCCCGGAGGCATAGGACGAGTTCCGTTCATGCTTGGAAGCACGGGCAGTCCATTTGGCGCAGGAAACCCTCGCAGTTGGTTCATCAGCGGGCCCGAATGCGGCGGGTATGAAGGTAACTCATGGCCAATCGGCGGACGGGAGACCAGGCCCAACCCAGGCGGGTTCGATGGTGAGAATCCGGGTGGATTAGAGCGGTTCAACGCACCAAGGGGAGACAGGGGTGTCGAGGGCTGGGGGTGGTGAAGCAACGGCGGTTGTCCATGGCCCTGCTTGGACGTAACGCTGGACGCTCCTGACGACTGCGAAGGCGCCATCGATCGTGGGGAAATGGATACTTGGGATGGCTCGGTGCTTGCAGGCTGGGACCGCGGAGACGATGTATGGGAGCCCTGCTGAGACGGTTGCCGCGGCCTGGCAGGTGTCGGAGCTTTGGGGACAATCGGAGTGGCGATTTGGTAATGCGGCGACTGCAAGTATGCAGGGAGCGCCTGGGCGTGTTGCAAGCTGGCTGGGATCGGAACCGGTCCTGTATGCGACACTCGCTTCGCTTGGGGATCGCGTTTCTCCTGACCTTCGTTCTCGGTCTTGGGGGCGGCCTCCCGACGTGTCTGCGCATCCTTGACTTGACGTTCTCGCTCATCCTTCGTCTTCTTCTCCCGCAGGTCGTTTTGCCGTGCTTCTTCTCGTCGCTTCTTCTCCAGCTCCTTCTGCTCTCGTTGCTTTCGCTCAATCTCCGCCTGTCGCTCTCTTTCTTCGCGCAGCCGCTTTTGCTTCTCCGCCTCCTTCCTGAGACGCTCCGCTTCTTGGGCTTTGCGTTCTGCTTCTCGCTTCTTCTTTTGTTCCTCGCGCTTCCTCCTTTGCTCTTCCAGCTTCTTCTCCTGTTCAGCCTTGGCCGCAGCTTCCTCGGCCGCCTTCTCCGCCTCCCTTCGCGCCTTCTCTTCCTCCTTGGCCTGCTTTTGGAGCTTCTTCTTATCCTTCCTCTTCTGAGCTTCCCGCGCTTTCTTGGCGTTTCGTTGCTCGTTCCGCGTTTGCTCCTCCATCAGTTCCTCGATCAGTTTCTGCTGACGTTGTTCCGCGACCTTTTCTCGATAGGCTGTCAAGACGCGCTGTTCGAACATTCGGGCCGCAAATATTTGGAACATCCGTCGGCCTTCCTCCATGCGTTGCTCTTCCGTCATGGCGTCCTGCAGAAACGAGTCAGCTTGCACTGCATCACCACCCGGCCAGTTCCCGGAGCTGACCATTTCATCCTCCTCATAATCTTCATCTTCCTGACTATCGTAGTCCTCGTCCTCTTCCTCGTCATAATCGTCGTCATCTAGAGGACCGTGGTTGTGGCCGCCATGGAGGGATTGGTGTGCTGCTGCTATGCCGTACTGGGTATCCTCTTCACGTTGCATTCGGCGCTCAGCTAATTGCTCCATCATGTCGATGAAATGTTTCCCGTCGTTCTTTAACAGATCGTCCGCGACTGTAAGGATGCCATCTGCAAGTGATGCAAAGAGGTTAGTATCTAGCTTCCGAGAATTAAAAAAGCCTCGGTCGTCGCCTACCTTTGACAGTTAGACTATTCCCAAAAGCGAAGAAATCTGCGCGGGCTGCACGGGTCTCTTCGTCTTCGTAATCGTCGTCGCTGTACGGCTCGTCATCCTCATCATCTTCATCGTAGTCCTCCTCCAGATCCTCGTCGTCTTCCGGCAACTCATGAATCCGGCCTCGAGAGGGATGAAATTGGCCTTGCGTCCGTGTATGTTGACCGGGTGATCGTAGAGGCGGGTGGTATAAACGCGGAGGCGGGACCATGGGCGGGCCCTTCTCGAACGAGCCTTGGTTGTTGTTCGCGTACTGTTCCAACTCCTCATAGTAGGCGTCGTATAGTACTTCCAATTCCTCCTCGATGGCCGTCCTTTTCCTCCCACATACGGTACAACTGCACGAGTGTTTCTGCTGCTCCTTCATCTTTTTCAAGACCGCATCCTTTTCCACCTTGACGAGCTGGCGTCGCTCCTCCTCCCCAAGCTCAAGCCAGAACGTCTTGATGTTCTCTCGCTCTTCTTGCGTGGAGGTGTTCCAAATGCTGCGGTCCTTACCCGTCTTCAGAAGCGTATGAGGCAGATGCGGCGGTAATGGCGGGGGCAGATGCTGTGACATGGAGACAGAAGGAGTGGACAGTGGTGTCGAACTTTCGTCGCCCATGGTCTGAGAGCCGGCCCGATTCTTCTTTCCTTTCTTCTTCTTGGATTTCCGAGCCGTAGCATTTTGTTGTCCCGGTTGCCCGTTCGACAGACTCGGCGGGTGGTCGTCCAGATCATGTGTCGCGTCGTGAATTTCCTCATAGTACGTTTCGCCGTTGGCGCGTTCGTCGAGGTCGTGCTCGTCGGATACATGAGACGCTGGCGCGGTAGGGCTCAGACCGTTCTGCTCAGACATGTCCGCGGAGATGTGGCCGTTTCCGAACTGACGCTCCGCAGCCAAGCGGGCGGCCTGTTTTTGTCTGCGTTTTTGCTTCTTGCGGTTAACCGACACGGGTTTGGAGTCTGATAAGGGAAGTTGGTCGTGATGGTGGTCGTTGGGCGCATGGGCCTCGCCGTTCGTGGCGTGTGCAGGGATGGATGTCGACGCAGGATCGGACATTGTGGAACCGGGATTCGGCCGGGGCGTTTGCGGCGGA